GGAGCTGCGATCAGCCAAACCTGCGAACGCGGCAGGTAAACAAGCCGGCCTGGCCCACCAAGGGGCGTACCCTGGCGGGCCGCATGCCAAAGGTTGCCGATCCCTGCTTTAGATTCATAGTAGTGGCCCTCTAAAAAAAAAAAAAAAAAAAAAGGGGGGGGGGGGAGAAGAGAGAGAGAGAGGTTGACATTTTTAAATGCATTTAGTAGACACACTTCTAGATACCATTCTGTCAGTGTCTAGTTTTCACTGCTCTTATCATATAACACCAATCTGAAATAATTAAACACCAGCATGTAGATGTTTTAACCACAATGGGCTGACTCAAGGAAATAGTTGTAATGTTAATTCAGGTTTGATGCGGTTGCTTGAGATGGAGGAGTGGATGAAGAAGGGATGGGTGAGGCCCTCAGAGAGTAGCCACAACTCACTATTTCTCACCCACTTGTCTGTGGTCAATAGAGACCATTCTCCTGAGAAACGGAAAATTCAAGGAGTATTTCTGCATATTACTGGGCTTGTAGTTCCTTCTCAACACACTACTAGTTTGGTTTGGAAGTGCTGTCTGCCACAACTTAATCCAATTTTTCTCCAGACAGGAGACAACCTGTGTATTTGGGTGAGCAAAGAATTTGTTTGGAGTAAGCATCTGTAGTCCAGGGCACAGTTAGATGTGATTCCATGGCACTAGCTGAGAATCTCACTGCATCCACTGAGGCATCTGCCATAAAGTCTGTTGCTGGGGTTAGAAGTCAGGATGGTCCTTTTGTTGTCATGGTTTCATGGCCATCCTGACTGTCTCTTGTGAAGCATATAGTGGCCTGTTCCTTTTATGGTGGCTTTCACCTTTTTGTATCACTGGGAGAGAAATCCTCTTCACCCAGGATTATTATTTCTTTTGCTAGAGATGCCACTGCAGTATCATCCTTTGGCATTTCTGTAATGGTGCTTTTTGGTGTTTGCAACTTTTATCTAAGTGCACACCTGCTTATGTGCTTAGCCTTGTCAGGTATTTCCCATTCATCCCTGTTCACATCCTCAAAAGGGTGCAGTGAGAATGCTGTCAGAAGCGAGGATTTGGAAGGCAGGTATTTGCCCTTAGGCTGGTCCTCGTGTGCCAGTTCTGGTTGATCTGGAGAGCAGATGCAACCTTTCTGCATATGGTCTCAAATTTATCAGAGGGTGAAAAACCTTTGCTGCATGTTTTCCATGCCCTGCGCAGAGCCTGAATATGAGAACTGTCCTTCCTCATTAGAGGTGGCAGAGCCTGAATCAGAGGAGAAATACTCTTAGATTTCTTTTAATTTTTTTCTTTACCTTTATAATTTTTTTGGATTTTTGGCCCTTCTTATCTGCTCAGCAGGAGTTGTCACCAGGCTATGGCTTGGGTGGGGTTTCTTGAGTCCCATGGAAATATCTCCCTGTACCTTCCCCTTTACTGGGAATGGGGTCTCACTGCTAGTATCCGTAGCTTTGTGTGGGAAGGAGAGCTATGTAGGAATCCTGCTTCTTTTCCTAGGGAGTTTAGGATCCATCTGTATCGGGGATGGGAGATCTGGTGCCCATTGTTTTTTCATTCTGATCAGGGTCTGCCCCAGGACTTAACCCCGAGCTGGCTGGCTGGCATCCTCATCTTTGGATATCCACCCTTCCCCCCTGCAATAACTTGTCTCGTGGGAGGGGTTTTCTACATTGGAGTCATGGTTCCTCAGACAGGTATGTCAGGTCTCCCCTGCCCTGACTCTGAGCCCCATGTCCTGGCAGAGAATAGACACAGCATTAATTTGCCCTCTGAAGATCCTGTAAATGCTGCCTCACATACGGAACACTGCTTAGACTTAACCAGTGTTTATGGGACAGACCTGCTATGCTGGATCAAGGAGGCTGACACCATCGTGATGCTCTTTATCTGATCCAGGGGAAGAGAATAGGGAAGGGAGAAGAAAGGTTGCTCACTTCTAGCCAAAAAATTAAAAACAAGGCTGGCAAAGAAATGACTGGAAGCAAAGTGAACTGCTACTATGGTAGTGAAGACTTGGTGGCAAGTTACAGTAGGGGATGTAATCAGCTGGGACTGTGTTACAGAGATGAACTGCTCTGGGAAACTGCAGACAGGAGGGGACTAGCCCTTAGAACTTGGGCTGCAGAAATACCAAGCTAAATATTTCAGAAATTTATAGCAGAACTTCACAGGTGATTTTTTTTTTTTTTAAATCATACTACCTGAGCTGGCACTAGAAGTTATAAATCCATAAAAACTGTATGCACTAAACTGTTATTTACCTAGCCAAATTTGAGATTTCAAAACAGTCAGGTGAAATAGCCTATATGGGGTTTTTTCTAGGACAAAAATCTTACTTTTAGAATTACTTTGTTCCTATGTTTTATGTAGAAGTTGCTCATTTTTTCAAGAGATAAAATAAAATACACTTCTAACCTGAATGAGTGGCTCTGCCTCATCTTCAGTGTTTGTTTTAGCATGCTTCTTGTATGTACATATTTAAAAATTAGTATACATCCAACACTAGTAACTTTCTACTGCACGTCAAAGAAGGTGTTTGAGAGAAAACTCAAAGGCCTTTTATAAAGTACCACTGTCCTTGTCACATTCCTAATGGTATGTAAAGGGATTGACGCTTATTCAACATATTTTATTATTCTATTAAAAACATTTAATATTCTATGCTTAGTCTAAGGGTATGTCTACACTACGAGGGTAATTCGATTTTACTTAAATCGAATATGTGGAATCGATATTGCAAAGTCGAACGTGTGTGTCCACACTAAGGACACACTAAGGACAGTAATTCGACTTTGTGAGTCCACACTAACGGGGCGAGCGTCGATATTGGAAGCGGTGCACTGTGGGCAGCTATCCCACAGTTCCCGCAGTCCCCGCTGCCCATCGGAATTCTGGGTCGAGCCGCCAATGCCTTCTGGGTAAAAAAAATTTGTCGTCATCCGTCCGTCACTAACGCCCTCCCTCCCTCCATGAAAGCGCCGGCGGGAAATCAGTTCGCGCACTTTTCTGGTCAGTGACAGCGCGGACGCCACAGCACTGCGATCATGGATCACGCTGCGACCATCGCTGCACTTGTGGCCGTTCTCAACACCTCGCAGCTTATCATACACCTTTCCCTGAGGCAGATGCAGAGAAATCAGGCGAGGAGGCTACGGCACCGCCGTGAGGGCCTGAAGTCGGAGAGTAGCACAGAGCTGTCAGAAACCACGAGCCCCAGCGCCCAGGACATCACGGTGGCAATGGGGCATGTGGATTTTGTTGAACGGCGATTCTGGGCCCGGGAAACAAGCACGGACTGGTGGGACCGTATAGTGCTTCAGGTCTGGGATGAATCCCAGTGGCTGCGAAACTTTCGCATGCGGAAGGGGACTTTCCTCGAACTTTGTGAGTTGCTGTCCCCTGCCCTGAAGCGCAAGGACACCCGCATGCGAGCAGCCCTCACTGTCCAGAAGCGAGTGGCCATAGCCCTCTGGAAGCTTGCAACGCCGGACAGCTACCGGTCAGTCGCGAACCACTTTGGTGTGGGCAAATCTACCGTGGGGGTTGTTGTCATGCAAGTAGCCAAGGCAATCGTCAAGGTACTGCTCCCAAAGGTAGTGACCCTGGGAAACGCGCAGGTCATCATAGATGGCTTTGCCGCGATGGGATTCCCAAACTGCGGTGGGGCTATCGATGGGACTCACATCCCTATCCTGGGACCGGACCACCAGGCCAGCCAGTACATCAATAGAAAGGGCTACTTTTCAATGGTGCTGCAAGCACTGGTGGACCATCGGGGACGGTTTACAAACATCTACGTCGGATGGCCGGGCAAGGTTCATGACGCTCGCGTGTTCAGGAACTCTGGTCTGTTTAGACGGCTGCAGGAAGGTATTTACTTCCCAGACCACAAAATAACTCTTGGGGATGTGGAGATGCCTACAGTCATCCTCGGGGACCCAGCCTACCCGCTAATGCCCTGGCTCATGAAGCCCTATACTGGCGCCCTGGACACAGAAAAAGAACTGTTCAACTACCGGCTGAGCAAGTGCAGAATGGTGGTGGAGTGTGCTTTTGGCCGTCTCAAAGGGAGATGGAGAAGCTTACTCACTCGCTGTGATCTCAGTGAAACCAATATCCCCATCGTTATTGCAGCTTGCTGTGTGCTCCACAATCTGTGTGAGAGCAAGGGGGAGACCTTTATGGCGGGGTGGGAGCTAGAGGCAAATAGCCTGGCTGCTGATTACGTCCAGCCAGACAGCCGGGCCATTAGAAGATCCCAGCGGGACGCCCTGTGCATCCGGGAGGCTTTGAAAGCTAGGTTCCTGAGTGAGCAGGGCAACCAGTGACTTTTCAGTTTGTGGACAGAAAAGCTGAACCTGCCCCCGTTTCTTTACCCAGTCCATTTTGACTATCCTCTCCAGTTACATACAACCTTCACCCCCTTCCCCTTCCCAAAAAATAAAATCATTTCGATTTTTTAATGAACACCGTTGTCTGTATTGCTGTTTTCGCGGGAATATTTTAAACCGGGGACGCAGACTGTGGCGGGGGGCGGGTTTAGTGTTCTGATGCAAATGATACTTCTAAACTCCCGGAATGACAGGCTCCGCACTGGTGGACTGGTTATTTCAATGGAGCCTGCCAGCACTCCTGGGGGGGACTGTGTGTATGTGTCGGCTATGTGACTTTCTGGCAGGGGGGGTAGGGTTACAGATCCCCTGCTGCGTGGATCTGTGAGCCAGGATAAGGACCGCTGCATAAGATCTGTAACTGCCCCCCCCCGCCACAAAGTCACAGAGCAACCCCCCCCCCCAAAACATGAAAAACACCTCCCAGACTGACCAGGGTAACCAGTGACTGCACTGTGTATGTGTCCTGATGCTGGACCTGACACCGCCTCTGTACCCTGCTAAAGGTGACTGTCCTGTCCAATTACCAAGCCCCTTCCCCCCCTCCAGACAGACTCTCCCTCAAAAGAACCTGACTGAAACAGTAATGAACAGAAACAAACATTTTATTGCGAACCAGAGATGAAACGTGGGGGGTGAAACTTGGACGGGGGCTTGTGTGAGGTGGGTAGGAAAGGACTTATGAAATTTTGGGGAATGTCAGCCTTCTACTGCTAGAGCAGTCTGCAGGGGTTGATTGAAAGTTTTAACGGCCCTTGCCGCCCCTCCTTCTTTGGACTTTGGGTGAGGGTGGTGTGGGACTTGGTGGCGGGTGAGGGCGGTTACAGATAGACTGCAGCGGGGCTCTGTCCTCCTGCCTCCGGTCTTGCAGAACATCCACAAGGCGCCGGAGCGTGTCCGTTTGCTCCCTCATTAGTCCAAGCAGCTTTTCAGTAGCCTGTTGGTCCTCCTGACGCCACCTCTCCTCCCGTTCCATGACTGCTCGGTGCATTTGTGACAAGTTCTCCCTCCACTGTGTCTGCTGGGCTGCCTGGGCTCGGGAGCAGCCCATTAGTTCTGTGAACATGTCTTCACGCGTCTTCTTCTTCCTCCGCCTAATCTGCGCTAGCCTCTGGGAGTGTGCTGACAGGCTGGGTTGGGAGACAGTCGCAGATGTGTCTGTGTGAATTTTAAAAAGGGAGTGAATTCCTGAGACAGATAAATGAAATTGTATACAAAGAACCTAGTCTTTCTCTGTGAACAAGACCATGCACTGAACCTCTCACATGCGCACTCAGGACAAGGTCGAATTTTCGGCCGTCGCCTTCAGTGCCTGTGGACTTGCGGAGGTCTTGGAGTGTTCAGAGAACTGTGGCTGGAGACCTGAACTTCTGGAGCGGGCAATAATGGTAAGCCGCAGACTTGTGGCTGCTTAAAACTCCAGCAGTAGCACTGGCCTCCTTTCACATTGAAAGCAATGCCAGTCTCTGCTGCCAGCAATCAGGACAGCATCAACTCTGCCCCTGTCCCACCCCCTCGCGGCTGTCCCAGGGAAAGATCCCTGTATGCTGCCCCTCTCCCTCCACCGCGTGGCTGTAAAGCAGTCCCAATACTAACAGTCCCCTCCCTAATTCAAAGCAGGGCGTCATGAGCGACATCACCCTCCTGAGGATCCCGGACACCCAGAGAGAACGCATGCTGCGGGAAAGCATGCAGAAACCGGGGCCGTATGCCGCCATGCTATGTCGGGCCATGATCCCCGAGTACCTGATTGTGGCATGGAGGGGACATGTCTGCTACCACGGAGGGCCCACTAAGATCGCCCTACCCCGGAACCTGATCAACAGGCTTGAGCTCTACCTCCACGAGACCTACGAGGAGTTCTCCTACGAGGATTTCTCGTCGATCCCCGGCCACATTGACCGGATTTTCGCGTAGGTGCACTGAGACTTTGGAGTGGAGCGTCTTGGGCCTGGGAATCATGTAGTAACGGACATTGTGAAATTTTTTTAAAATACTTGGGACTAAATTGAGAAGAGCCTAAGACAGAGAAATCATGCAAAACCCATTTGTTACCTTTGTAAATATTCCTGTTTTGTACCTGATTATTTTTTTACTAGTTTACAGCACTTTTATAAATATACATTGTTAATAGTATAAATATTACCGTTCTGTTTTAAATAAATGTTTACATGTTTACAGCACTTACTGCTTGATCCGTCCCCTGATTCTGTGTCCGGGGTAAGGGATGGGGACGGTTGGTAGGGGATCTCGGTAAGGGTGATGAAGAGCTCCTGGCTGTCGGGGAAATCAGCGGTGCCAGCGCTGTCGACTGCCTCGTCCTCCTCATCTCCTTCTTCATCTTCCCCGTCCGCTGTCATGTCCGACATGATCCCATCCTCGGAGTCCACGGTCAGGGGTGGGGTAGTGGTGGCGGCCGCTCCCAGGATGGAATGCAGTGCCTCGTAGAAACGGGATGTGTGGGGCTGGGATCCGGAGCGTCCGTTAGCCTCTTTGGTTTTTTGGTAGCCTTGTCTCAGCTCCTTGATTTTCACGCGGCACTGCGTTGCATCCCGGCTGTAGCCTCTCTCTGCCATGGCTTTGGAGATCTTCTCGTAGATCTTAGCATTCCTTCTTTTGGAGCGCAGCTCTGAAAGCACGGACTCATCGCCCCACACTGCGATGAGATCCAAGACTTCCCGATCAGTCCATGCTGGGGCCCTCTTTCTATTGGATTGCACGGCCATCTCTGCTGGAGAGCTCTGCATAGTTGCCACTGCTGCTGAGCTCCCCTCGATGTCCAAAGAGGAACTGAGATTCAAACTGCCCTGACAGGAAAATGAAAATGAATTCAAATTTTCCCGGGGGTGTGGCTGGTCAGAGCATCCGAGCTCGGACTGCTGTCCAGAGCGTCAAGAGAGTGGTGCACTGTGGGATAGCTCCCGGAGCTATTACCGTCGATTTCCATCCACACCTAGCCTAATTCGATATGGCCATGTCGAATTTAGCGCTACTCCTCTCGTTGGGGAGGATTACAGAAATCGATTTAAAGAGAGCTTTCTGTCGAACTAAATGGCTTCCTGGTGTGGACGGGTGCAGGGTTAATTCGATATAACGGCGCTAAAGTCGACATAAAAGCCTAGTGTAGACCAGGCCTAAGCAAAAACTAAAGCGAGTCTTATCAGTTGCATGGTAAGAACTCAAAATGCAAGAATACCAAGGTTGCACTAACAACTTCTCTACTTTGCCCCCATGTACATACACTATCACAGAGCTGAATTACATGGATTACATTCTATTCCTCAATTACAATATAATATGAAATTTCCTGCCACCTTAGATACACCTCCACCTTGCAATATTTATTCAGACTTTTATACTTGCACCAATATGTTTGCTGTAATAGATCACTGTACCTTTGAGAGAAGACTAGAATTAGTGTATAAGATATCTATGGTAGGTACTGAATAATTTTCTCTTTTGAAGCAGAAGCACAGCTAACTGCAGGTGCAAATTAGGGGTCAAAGCTAATGGCTGCATGTTTAGGTGGTCTATAAGTACTATAAACAGGACTTTTTACTATTACTTCTATGGTATATACTTAATCTGTTGTATAACTGTTGTTGAGTATTTGCATATAAATGACTAATGGACTCTGACGTACACAGTAGCACATGTCGAAAACTGGGGTAGCATTGCATTGTGTTTAAAAATAATGTAACACTTTAGACTGTCAATGTAACACACACAAAAGGGAGCAAAGTTAAGAATGTGTATCTGACAGCGTAATCATAACTTTCTATCAATAATGTAAGGGTCCTGGTTACAGAATTTCCTCACTTAATAAGAGAGGAAAGAAGATTGGGGGTGGGGTGGACACATCACCTTTGTCAGGACTTGGAGGTGCTGCAAACTAGCAGCTAATTGGTAATAGCATGCATAAATTCCATAATCTGGAGCATGTGGCTAGGTATAATCAAATGTGAAGTCTAAAGGAAGATCCTCTATTGCACACCTTAGCAGCTATCATGTCAACTCAGAGTGGGCTCTATCCTGCACACCTCACCAAGTATGCTGCCCCATTCCTAACCCCTTTAGACTCAAAATGCTATTAAATTTAGCCTCATGTACCCGCAGAGAATCCTCCTTCAGCTGAACATTTTACAAGATTAATGGGAAGATAAACCCCAAATAGGGAGAAAAATCACCCAAGAACATATCCTGCTCCCAGCTAAAATATGAAGAGACTCCCTGCCAAGAAACCCAGTACGTTAGAAATAAAGAAAAGAAAAAAAACCTTTTAAAATAGTATTACCTTGTATAGTGTGGAAATATAGCCGTTAGACGCTCAATGATATTATCAAGTGCTTTTGAAAATGCCTTCTTGTTTGGCACCCCAACAGCTCCCAACTGCGTAGCTGATGCTGGATCATTTAGCTGTCTTTGGTTCGGCTGTATGTTCTGAGCAGTACTTCCAGAAATCCCTGATGGCTGGGCTACTCGAACTTGATCAGAGTATGATGCTCCTAACGTTTCAAAGGGTATTTCTACTGATCCATTCTTTGCAGAACAAGGATTAGGACTTTTACATGCTGTTTTATTTCCAGTTTGCACATTAAGTGTGGAATGCACCGGACTTTGATCTTTGGAGCTTGAAAATGCAGGAAGTAAAGTGGGACGTACAAGTGCAGATGAATACATTATGATGGCTGGATCATTAATAGGAGGACTGCCTTGCATTACCTACAAAAAAAAGATTCCCCAGAAAGATGAAGAGTAATTAAAATATTAGTCAAGTATTCTTGTCAAACATGTTAAGGCTACAGCTACTTCATGGACTGGGCTGTACTTAACTTAGGCAGTTAAGAAGGAAATGCACAGTAAAAGACAACACTTCATCCTGACCTGATTTACCATGCGGGGTAACCTGTTTATAGCACATATGCAAAATCATGCCCTTTCTGATAATCGTGCAGTACCTACAGACAAGATTTGCTCCAAGCCTAATTAAAATATAATGTGCACACAAATGCAACCCTTACCGTTATTTTAACTTATACAGAGTTCCCATGGTTTTAGCTACAGAAATGGTCCTGGCCAGTCATCATGATTTTACAGAAGAAATGTTTTGAAAGTGGCTGTGGGCATTTCTTCGTTAAAGAGTCCAAGATGGCTGGCAAGAAAGCTACCAGTTAGAGGCATTTAAAATTTTTTTTTTTTAAAGGAATATATTTAAACTTTAGCCATATATGGGTTTTTATTTAAAGAAATAAATGGCTGCCATATTCACCATTCTGAAAGGCTCTGCAGGGTTAGAATTCATTTTCATCACAGGGCTCTTTAAAAAAGGATACACTTATCCTCACTTAAAACACAATTGTGCCCACTTACTCATAATGAGTAGTGCTATACTCTACACGCAGACCTAGTGAAATCAAATCAATGGAATTACTATTAGAATAAGTTACTACTCTATGAATACGAAAAGCAAGTCAACATGGTCAGGGACACAACCCCATGCTCTGGGTGTCCCTAAAGCTCTGACTGCCAGAAGCTGGGACCCGGTGACAGGGGATGGATCACGCAAAATTGCCCTGTTTTGTTCATTCCCTCTGAAGCATCTGGCACTGGCCACTGTCAGATACTGGGCTAGATGGACCATTGGTCTGACCCAGTATGACCATTCTTATGTTCTAGAATTAGATTTTAATACCTGTTATGTAAATGTGAATTTATCTTTGTACCACCCCTAGCACAAGTTTTCCTTGCATTAGTCTACAGTGAAATCAGATAAAAGATCAAGAACACAGGGAGAGAACAGTACTAGTTTTAGTTTCCCCATCTATAACATCAGGATAACTCTATCTCCTTTAGTAATGCTTCTCAGATCTGAAGATGAAAACTATCATAACCCCATTTTGACCAGAGAGATTAGGCAAAGTTCAGGGCCTTGTGGGTTGTTTCTGTTCGGAGGAGAATTTGATGGAGTCAGCTATCCTTGATGCAGTCGTATCTATTTCTTTTTCTGAACACAGGGAGGAATCAAATAGGAAATTGTTTGCTCCAAGCACCTCAGCCCCAAAAGCACTCAGCATTTCTCAGAACCATGTTCCCAGTGCCTGTTCAGGCTGTCTCTGGTGCTTCCTTGCTCCTCTAGTCTTTCTGCTGTTTCTCTGAGGCATTCAGACGTACACAGCTCCACCAATCAATGCCTTAGCCCCAGCATTTGTTATATCCATCCCCCTGGGCCACATAGTTCAGCTTCTGCTCAAGTTTTCATATATGCCTGTGTTTTGGGTGGTAAGCCTATTGTTTCAGTTGTGTGGTTACGTAAAGATGTTTAATGGCTTCTTTATATTTATCATGAATGAAAGGCAGCTATTACACCCACCAATTTCAACAAGGTTTAATCCAACCCATAACAATACTATCTAAGAATGAAGCAGATTGAGAGGGACTTAAGAGATCAGTATTCAGAGTACAGAAAAAGTTGATATTTAAGGAAAGGGAAGGAGAGAGAGGAGAGAACGGTTTTCAATGGCTCAAATTTCAATGGTGAACCTCTACCCGGATTAACTATTCAGAAAAAAATTAAAAACAAAACTATCCAGGGAAGTTGTGTGTACAGTGCCCAGTACAATGGGGCCTCCATTCTGACTAGGTTGTCTGGCTACTGAATACAAATTAACAAAAACAGAAAAGAGGCCGGTGACCAAACGAACAGCATCAAACCTTTCTGGTTATTTTCAAAGATCACTCACTAGAAATGCTACAATATAATAAGATGTGAGCGGAAAGGGCATTTAAGGGACTGACAAGCAAATGAACTAACCAAGTACAGGTCTGCAAGAAAGCTGCATTTGTTTTGTCCAACAGCCCAAAACTCACCACATATAAATTGTAGAATGCCCTAAGTTTTCAGTCACATTATTTGACCACAATTAATGAGGGCAGTCATGTTGTCAAAAAATTATATACACTACATTAAATGCTCTGTTTGTCAAACAGTCTGGAAAATGTCAGTGTCTTAAGAATTAATACAGATTTAAATCAGCAAGAGAGTTACCATTTAAATGAATGTTAGTTTTACACAGTAAAATTCTTCCGGTGGTGGTGAGAAAGAACAGTTACTGACCCTACAGTAAGGGCTGATATCCTACAGTTCAAGTTGATATCAGTGTGGATCCCACTGTGGGTGCATATGTGCCTAATGCACATGAGATTGGAGGTTCTTGTGATTTTTGTTTTAAAGTAGTAGTCTGTTTTGGGGCGCGCTTGCACCATATGCCTCTTTGTGCTCCTATGCCTGGACACAAGGAAGGGGCAGCTGTGACCCACCTTCCATTTTCTTGCAATTTGAAACCCATGTTTAGATGAGGACTCTGAAAAGAAGGGATTGAAGGCAGGTTATGGGACTCACACTGACAATAGAAAAGAACCAGTTACTATAAGGTAAGTAATCTTTATTTTTCAGCTGCATCAGTCAAACAGTACTTAGCAGCCATGTCCAGTGCCAAGTCCAAAGCATAATGTTTGACAACGGTCAGTTGGTTTTTCCATTTCACTGCTTTGCAGATTTCTGATATAGGCATATTCCTGAAGCACGTGAATAGTACTGCTGGAGCTCTGGTGGAGTGAGACTTAGTATCTCACCCACCAAATACACCAGCCAGCTGGTAACAGAGAGAGATACTGTGTTATCCATTGCTCTGTGAAGAGATGGCCTGACCTTTAGAATGCCCAGCTAGAGCCAGAAACATGGGGAGACGGTGTGAAGGGTCCTGTCAATGCAACAAAACAAAGTCCTGGACACGTCTAAATGTGTGCAACTTCTTTTTGCCCAGTGCAGACTGTAGTTTCGAGAAGGAGATGGGTAGATTGATAGGTTTAGATAAAATTCTGAGGACTACTTTGGGGATGAAGTTTGGTGAGGTGTTAGCACCACTTTATCCCCAAGAAATGGTCATTTAGGGAGGGTTAGCCATAAGTTCTGTACGCTTACTACCTTTTCTGGCTGAAGTGATAGCCAACAGGAAGACTCTTCCGAGTGAGGTAACTGTAAAGCAGCTCTCTGAAAGTGGATCAAAGGGAGCAGGCTCCATGAGTCTAACGAGGACTGTGTTGAGGTCCCAGGTAGGAGTAGGTTCTCTGACTAGTGGGTAAGTATGTAATAACCCTTTGAGGAACTTTGATACTGTTAGTGAAAAAAAAACTGAGCACGACTGTACAAGCGGATGGCATGCCAAAACTGTTGGGAGGTGGACCGTAATAGAACTGAACAAGAGAGACCAGCCTCCTTTAAATGCCATAAATAGTCAACAATCTTCAGAATCAATGCCTGGACTGAAACTAGACTATATGTTAAGTGGCCCACATCAATAACCTCTTCCACTTAGAGACAAATACGTCTTTTTGGTAGATGCCTTCCTGCTCTGTATCAGGATTTCTTGGATCTTTTAGGGAGAAGTCCTTGTCCATGCTACTCAACCACTCAACATACACACTGTCAGATGCAGTGAATTTAGATCTGGATGGAGTATCTGGCTGTGGTGCTGTGGGATCATGTCTGAGGAGGCCGAGAGCTGACTAGGCTGTTGAATGGACACTTGTAGCAGGTCCAGAACCAACACTGCCTTGGTCAGTAGCCAGCAATGAGGACAACTGTGGCGCTGTCTTACTTAACTTCCATTATTACCATAGGAAATCAGTGGGAAGGTACACCTCTACCCCAATATAACGCAACCCGATATAACACGAATGCTGATAGAACACGGTAAAGCAGTGCTCCGGGGGGGCAGGGCTGCGCACTCCGGTGGATCAAAGCAAGTTCGATATAACACGGTTTCACCTATAACGCGGTAAGATTTTTTGGCTCCCGAGGACAGCGTTATATCGAGGGAGAGGTGTATATAAAAGGCTGGAGAGGCTTTACTGCCTGCTATGCCAGTGCTGTTGCTGCAGAGGACTTCAATGACATTGACATGGTTGGAGTCGAAGTTGCTGGTAAAGCTCTGCCTGTGCCATTTTTGCCTTCTTTCTACTGCCAGATAACGGGTCTGATGTGCACTCGAGAGAATGCTGGTGAATCTGGCCTTGCTCTGGTAGTGATTATCATCTCTGTATCCAAACTGACCCACGTGGATTACTCTAGCAGATGTAGTTTGAGCTAAGCATCCCTGGATTTGTGGGTCCTGGAAGAAAAGGCCTTGCACACAGGGCACATGACTGGGATGTGGCTTTCTCCTAGGCAGAAGAGGCTTTGTCCATCTTTGATAGAGATCAATCCCTCACAGGACAGGCAATGTCTGAATCCTAAAGGTTTGCAGTCTACCATGAGGTGTGGCAGTTGACACAAAGCACCTTGCCCTGCTGTACAGGGGGGTCACTGATAATCTTTTCTCTTTTGAAACATCCAATTCCAAAGAACGTGAAGATGGAGATTTCTTTGAAGTTGGTTGAAAAAACAGTTTTATAATCTCTGAAGACAGTGTCAGATAAGACACTTGCTAGGCAGTAAAAGGGAACTGAGAGAGGATCACTGCTACCCCACCCTTCCTGCCCCTATACGAGGTGGCAGAGACATGTTTATTAAAAAAATCTCCAATCTCAAATGCATGAAGCACAAGCATTCCTACAGTGGGATTCACATTGACAACATCTCAAAGAAGAACTTAGTGGTTTCATTTGCTTTCTATGAAACAAAAAATCAAAGTAGAGTTGTTAGCAGCGTTGAGATACTTACTGAGATGCTAGGAGGGGACTGAAGATCAGCAGCTTTCACTCTAGAGAGATCATTTAGCTGTGCACCATTTTTCACTAAGTGAATTCTCTCTTCATACTGAGACTACAGAAAAAGACAAAGAAAACCAAAAACAAATCAGCCTTTATATTATTCCACTTACACCAAAATAAGACCTCAAAGTACCAATTAACACTATTACATTTTGAGAGAGACCAAAGACCTAATACATAGAAATAAGACTACATAGAAGTTTGATTTTCTTTTTGCTATGTTAGTGTATAGATTAAAAAAATATAACCATGGAAAGATACATTCATTAATTTTACAGATTTAGGATTACTGGGAATATTTTTCTCCAACTGTGTACCAGTTGTTCAGCTTCCTAGGATTATTATTATTATTATTTTGTAAACAGCCTTATTATTTGTTTTCCATACCCCTACCCCAAACATAACAGAAGACTCATTATAAGTTATGTGGACTTGGTAAGCTAATGAGAAAAGGTGGTCACATTTTTGGCCAATTCAGCAAGGATGCCTGCCTGAGTGAACACCTGGGCCCACATGAAGCTCCACTGAAGTCAATGGTGCTTCATTTAAAAGAACCCCAAACCCACATGGACCTCTGCTGATTTCAATATGGCTCCATACAGACACTGGTGTGTATGCTTCATCAGGGCTCTTACAAGTTATTCATTTAAGTAAATACATTAAGAGTAGCTATTTGAGATCTGTATTAAATTATAAAGGAAATATAAATCCAAATACTTATGATTGACAAATTATTTTCAAACTAACAGTTTGCATCCATCTTTAAAACAAAGGATATATATATTGCTTTTTTTAACCTACTAGGCACATCACAATTCTACATTTGGTAAGAAGAGATAATTAAGGAGGACTCTTATAATACAGGAAAATGTGTTTGGAAAACAGACTTACTTCTACTTTTTCCATTTCTTTCTTGATATTTGAAATAAATGTTTCCCAAGAATCAATCTGTGACTTCAACTGAGGTAACACTGAAGTGGGACCACTGAAATATTTCAAATTTTCAGTTCAAAATAACGTGATAACTTGAGTTTGTAAGTGATTCTCCAACAGAGAAAACTGCTACCCAAAAGTGTAATGCTCTCCTTCCCCTCCCAGGTAAATCATAGCTGAAGACTTCGGTCACACAGAATTTTAACAAATTCAAGTATCAGTGTTTGTCTACTAATTTAACCCTTAGGAACTGGCCAGTCTTGGAAAGTAAGAACCCTCAAGCAACAGCCAGACTCCTAAGGATACCCCAAGACCTGGAGAGGATGCTGTGCAGGGAGGAGGCAGGCCCTTGGGTGGAGCCAATCCCAGCTCTGTTTCCTCACATGCAGAAACAGAGCTCAACCATGCCCATCAGTCTTGTTCCATCTCCTTCTAGTCCTTCTCCCTTCCTCATACTGTCAGGCAGGAAAATGTGGGCAGGTCTGAGCTGCATGAACCACCATGGCTAAACTAGAACAGGCATAGAGCTGGGAAGTCTTTTACTCTGAATTTTTCCCATGTTGCATGGTCAGAGATTGAATGCTAGCAACCAAGAAAAGATTCTTTACAATTGATGTAATTCGCAAAGCTAATGAATGCCACTTTGCTTTCCTAAACTTTCAGAACTTAATTTTTCAGGCCCCTAAAATGTGATGCAAGGCATCAAAAACACATTCTTGGACAAAGCTTTAACATGGTGTTAGTACATTCTAAAAGATGTAGTTAGCTGTCTAAAAAACATCTATGATGGTATTTATTTAAAGTCACCAATGCAGCTGGCAATGAATACCTGTTACCTCCAACAGAAATATACAGTTCCATTAAATAAATAAAAGCAAGTCTAAATTAGTGAGAGGATATAAAACAATACTAAAACCAGAAAACAAGAAGGTAAAAAGATTATATGCAATTACTGAATTTTCATGTGTGTACACTGAATCTAGACTAAAATGTAATTCTAGATGAAATAGTGACAATGTTCTCTAGTTAGACTTATCTTCTGTTTCTATTTCGTAGTTGTTACACAAATTATAGTGATGTATTAAATGCATACCTGCTCATTAACTTTAGGAATTTAAGATTTGCTTCTGCATTTGCAGCTATGCTGCGTAATTTGCATACTTCAGTGTTCTTCCAACTTTCAAGTACTGACACCTAAAATTAAATTCTGTGACTTAAAAGACATACAGTACAAGCATTTTTCTTAGCACAAGCAGTTAAAACTAAGTAATTATTAATCTAAATTCAGCCTCAATCTGGTCTTTAGTAAACATACTCAGGAAAGGCCTAGCTCTAGAACATCTCTGTAGTGAGATATTTCAAGCAGCGTTAAAATGCAATGGCAGAATTGTGTGAGGAAACAATGACTCTCAGGTGGCTGTAAACAGTCTGCTGAGCATTAAAACTTTCATAAATAGTGAAACTCTTTCCATCCCCATCCTTTGAAAACAGATAACCTTGATATTGTGCATGATCTTTATGATTAAAAAGGTATTTATCTATTTCAAGGCAGATGCATTGGCTTCTAGCTCAATAAGGACCACCTTTTTTTAAACACACGACTTGCAATCACAAGCAAATTTAACAATCCAAAACTTCCTTAAAAGAAAAGTTGCATAGCATCTCTTTTATTCAAGAAATTTGAGTTCAAAGCATTCTGAATATAGAAAAACTACAGGTTTTAGAGGAAATCAGCTAAGAGAACTATTATGGACAGTCCTATTATTTACAAGATGCCAGCCTTTGAATGAAATATTCAAAGGGATCTGTGCATTCTAATACCACTAGAAATAGATGTGCTGATATTCCTATTCAAGATCAGTAATTTTTTAATAAAAGGATAAATTCTTTTTTGTGAGTAATTCCCACTAATGGAAACTATGTGCATGTCAAAGGGATAAAACATTCTTTAATTGCAATTACCTTTTAATAGTAGACTTAACTTTTAAAAAATTTTCTGGCAATATATCACATTGACCCAAACATCCAACCGCTTCTAAAAATATATACACAGAACAAATACAATAGAACCTTGCTAAGTTGCAGTGTCTCAGAGACCCATGGAGAATTAGCAACGAAGTGAACAAAAATATCCAGGATAGCGCATCAAAAAACATACTTTGCTGATGGAGCATACTATTAAATGTTGTGTAAGTGATTTTGTAACAATAATGAAGCCATCATTAAGACGAGACCTCACCAGATCTCTCTATTAAATCTATTCTGACAAGTGGGCAGATCAACCTTTTTTGTGGGGATTAGTGAAATGCAAAGGAGCAAGGTTCTAGTGTAGCATGTTTTACCTCTGCTGCAACAGCTCTTTTAATACACTCCTGGTAATTATCTTTGCTCTTTTTTATTAGCTCCTCCAGTTGTACTTTTTCATTGGCAAATTTATTACTGTGAAGTAAAATAAAATAAAATAAAAATGAAGATGTCAAAATAATACTGGGATGCCATCTACATTTGAACTGTACTCCAAAAACTCTACAACACATTTTTTTCCTCTTCTATAAAAATATGCATCACTAATTACATTATGTACATTACATGTAGACATGGATATTGGACAGTGCTAACTCATCTTAAATACGGTGGGGCAGATACACGTACTATGAATAATTCTAAACCTACCACTTGTATACTAAGAAACTAAGGGCTAGTCTACACTGGCAATGTTAAAGCGCTGCCGTGGCAGAGCTTTAACGTGGCTTGTGTGGCCGCGGCAGAGCGCTGGGAGAGAGCTCTCCCAGCGCTCTAAAAAACCCACCTCCACAAGGGGTGTAGCTACCAGTGCTGGTGCACTGTCTACACTGGTGCTTTACAGCGCTGAAACTTGCTGCGCTCAGGGGGGTGTTTTTTCACACCCCCTGAGTGAGAAAGTTACAGTGCTGTAAATTGCCAGTGTAGACAAGCCCTGAGAGCAAGGCTACAGGATTGCTTTAACTACAACAAGTATGTGAGCTCCCCCTGCTGTACCACAGCAGCACTTAAATTATTTCCCACGGCTGCTTTCCGATCAATGTCGATGCTGTTTCAGAGGAAGAGACAGGCTGATCAAATGCAGAATGAGAAAGGTGACCAAGACTTGGGGTGGAGGAGAGATTTTTATTTTCCAGCTTCTAAAAGGAAAGTAGGAGAGCGAGCATGAAAGAGAGCTGCAGAGATATAAATGCAACACACACACATACAGATACATATGGTGGTGATATGCATTTGATAATCTGTGGAATCAACCCAAATTGCGATTAATAGATTTTTATATTCTAAACCTGGAAAAGACCACTCTGATCATCTAGTCTGACATATTGCACAATACAGGCTATAGAACTTCCTTGAATTATTTCCTCTTTGAACTAGAGCATATCTTAAAGATCCAATCTTGATTAAAAAATTTCCAGCGATGGTGAATCCACCACAACCCCTATTAAGTTGTTCCAGCAATTAACTACCTCACTGTTTAAAAAAAAAAAAAAAAAAAAAAAAAGCACCTTATTTCTAGTCTGAATTTGTCCAGCTTCAACTTCCTGCCACTGGATCTTGTTATACTTTTGCCTGAGAAATTGAAAAGTCCTCTATTATCAACTTCTGTTCCCCATGTATGTACTTATTGACAGTAATCAACTCATCTCTTCACCTTCTTTTTGATATGGTAAATAGATTAAGCGCCTTCAGTCTTTTGCTATAAGGCATATTTTCCAATCCTTTAATCATTCTTGCAGCTCTTCTCTGAACCCGCTTCAGTTTTTTTTTTTAGCCTTCTTCTTGAACTGTGGACACCAGAACTGGACATAATATTCCAGCAGTGGTTGCACCAGTGTCAAATACAGGGTAATATAACCTCTCTACTCCTACTCAATGTTCCCGTTTATACACCCAAGTATCATATTAGCCCTTCTGGCCACAGCATCACCCTGGGAGCTCATGTTCAGCTGATGATTTACTGTGACCTTCAAGTCATTTTTAGAGTCACTGTTCCCAGAATAGAATCCTCCATCCTGTAAGAAACGCCTGCACTTTTGTTCCTAGATGTAAGAGTTTACATTTATTGACTTATCATGGCACCTTTCATTGCTTCATCTGCCCTCTAATCAATCTCCCCTTACGACTACTATGGATAGTCTAAATTCTGCACAGATTCAGTAGCCACACTTCTACAACTTCTTGTTAGAAAAATGTTTCACTCTTTCCCCCAAAATTCTTGATGCCTAGAACAACTCAAGTGAAAGGTTTAAGGCAGGGGTCGGCAACCTTTCAGAAGTGGTGTGCCGAGTCTTCATTTATTCACTCTAATTTAAGGTTTCACATGCCAGTAATATATTTTAACGTTTTTAGAAGGTCTCTCTCTATAAGTCTATATTATATAACTAAACTATTGTTGTATGTAAAGTAAACAAAGTTTTAAAAATGTTTAAGAAGCTTCATTTAATATTAAATTAAAATGCAGATCTTATCAGTTTAGTGCAGTGGTTCTTAACCTGGGGTGCACGCACCCCTTGGGGGTGCAAGATGCCCTTTCTGGGGATGCAAGACATGCAAGATTTTTTTAGAAGCTGGGGGCAACTGCAGAGCGCTGGGGCTGGGGCCAGGAGAAGAGCCCTGGGCTGGCTGCCGGTACCCCAGGGCAATTGCAGAGCGCTGGGCCCCGACCAGGAGCAGAGCCCCAGGCCAGAGGCCTGGACCCCGGCTGGCAGAGGGCCAGGCGGCTGGAACCCCAGACCAGCAGCGAGGTGAGCGGGGCCAGCGGCTGGTATACAGGACGGCAGCAGGCTGAGCAGGGCCGATGGCCGGAACCCCGGCTGGCAAGGGGCCGGCGGCCGGAACCCCAGACCGTCAGCAGGCTGAGAGGGGTGGCAGACAGAACCCCAGTCCGGCAGCGGCTCACCCGCTACCAGTCTGGGGTTCCGCCGTCTCCTGCCAGCTGTGGTCCCGACCGCCTCACTGCTCAGCTCACTGCCAGCCGGCAGCTGCAACCCCAGACCGTCAGCAGGCTGAGCGGGGCTGGTGGACAGAACCCCAGACCGATGGCGGGCTGAGCGGCTCAGCCAGCTGCCGGTCTGGGGTTCCGTCCGCTGGCTCCTGGCCACCAGCCCCACTCAGCCTGCTGCCGACCAGGGGATCCGTTCACCCAGGCAGGCATTGGGCTGAGCGGGGCCGGCGGCCGGAACCCTGGCTGGCAGCAGCATGCCAGTAAAAATCAGCTCGCGTGCCGCCTTTGGCAGGTTGCCAACCCCTGGTTTAAGGTCTAAGATCTCTTGATCATTAAGACTACAAATAAGATTTCCTGTCCTTCTTGGTGGTATAAGGTACTTCTTTCTAGCCCTGCTGCTGCATATTCTAAAATTATGAAAAAATCCTTTTAAAAAGTGTTTAAGAAGAGCAACAACCATAATGTCCCTAAGTAACTAGTATTTAGGTGATTTTCAGTAAAGCATGCTACTACAGTTAGTTTAAAAAAAAAAAAAAAAAAAAAAAGTTAAGTTAGGTATTTTGCTTATTCTCAAAATAAGCCACTACCTATCAACTCAAATCTGGTATTCATGATTCTTTATTGTATCTAGTACAACAGACAACAGTGTTAGGATAAGAACACCAACCAATTAAGGTAAGTCAATAGTGCTTAGGGATGCAAGAATTTATTAAAAAAAAAAAAAAAAAAAATTACCTGATCTCCAGGAATTTACCCAAATACACTGTATATTGCTTGTCCTTCTCATCGATGTTCCTCAAGTACCTATGTGCATCATAAACAAGGAAATCTATTAAGTTTGGTTTGAAAAATATTTACTCGGCAACCACAATACAGTCTTCTATAACCTTAGTTGCACAAATATAGTTGACAAATAAGTCTATGCATTTGATTTATAGTTTTGTAGGTAGTTCATTTAGGATTTAATCTCTTAATCCCAGAAATTTGTTTTCTGCTAGATCAGCACTGTGAATTTGTAATTTGAATGTTATTTAAGATTATTTCAAGATGTGACCCAACCCATCTAGCAAGACAAAAGAAGGGTTAATTGATAAATATAAAAAAATATAATACCCCCCCCCCCCCCCCCCCAAAAAACATCCAAGGTTCAAAGTCTCCTGAGGTAGGTGGTCTATGTAAATAGAGGACAATGAAAATACAGGAAGATGTCAAAGCCGATCAGGGATGTATCACTAAACAAGTGTCAATATACGTTTTGCAAGTTAAAAGAAAGCAGTATTGAATGTGTTTACCTGCAAAAGAAAAGTATGTTTAAGCAGAAATGTATGTACCTTAACCCAAGTTCAGTGATCCAACACCTACCTGAAAGACGTCTAAAAACCAGTCAGTATTTATGAAGTGATAAGAACATTGTTGGAAAGCATAAGGAATTATTATAATACCACAACCAACCCTCAACTCATCCAGTACATCACTCGTTTGAAAATTTCTTATTTGCTACTATTGCCTGTGCTCACTGAGTAGGGTGGGTGGAGAGGAGTTGATTTAGTTAATGCCCTTTCATCCACAGCCAGAGAGCCCTGTTGCCAAGAAACCCCATAGCATGGAGATGATAGGAGCCCATGTAAGGGACGTGCACCCTTAATAATAAGGATCCCAGTTCCATAGAGACTCCTTTCAGGCTTCTGTTTATAGGACAGGATAAAAAACACAGTAGACATAAGGAAATGCTTGCAGTTTCATTTTGAACTGCAAAATCAGTACTTCTGAATCTAATATCAAAACTACACGCTAATTAGATGCAACGATGGCATGAAGTCAGGTGTAACTATATCAAGAAATGGCAGAACCAAAGCAGGAGGAAATCAATGTTGTCTTTGGATTGCCCCAGAAATGTTCTGTTGCATGGCAGAATGAACACAGAAAGTGAATCTGAAATGTGAGCCAGAGCTGGGATTTGGTTGGGATGACTGTGTAGTGGGAATGGAGGAGCAACATAGGAGTTGAGGGAATAGAATATGGAATCAATGATGGTGAGGGAAGAGAGGAAAAGTTCAAAAGGAGTGGAAAATTAGCGGGTGCTCAAAGAAGTGCACAGGGAAACCCCAATACTGAAGATGGTAGTCTGAGATGGGAAACAAGGTATTATATAACCTGGTTATGTAAATTATTCTGCACGCAGACCTACCAATATCAGTAGGGCTAATCACAGAATAAGGTATGTGATTTTTAAGGGTGTCAGACCCTAAGAAAACAAGTCTAGTTGCATGTATTCTCACTCCATACATGTTACCCAGCTAACAACCATCACCAATTTTGTAGATTTTTATCGTCAGAACAATAATATAAATTATTCTACCATTCAGTTGTAATATATAGAATCAATATTTAAGGTTTATTTCTAGTCAACTAATATTTCAAGTACTTCTACTGCTGCTCCCATTTCTAAAATCATGCAAACAAAAATGGACACTTACATCTCATTAGTATCTGCAAGTTTTTTGGATGTATTCTTTGTTGCTTTTAATTTCTCTTGGTTTTCCTTTTTTTCTTGTTGCCATTTCTTAACTTCCATTTCTAAATCTTGGTGAAACCAATCCAGCTCTCTTTGTGTAATCTAGAGGCAGAAAATATTTAAGAAAATGTAGTTTCTTAAAGACATTTCTTTTAAAAATTACTAGAATAAGTTGTGGGGTTTTTTTGATTGATACACGGCCTAGCAAATGCATGCTGATTAGAACACGTGTTCCAGCCAGCGTTTGATTCACATTTAGATGAAAATAAACAGGGCTACTCAGAACAAGTGAAAAAGGCCTTCTGTTGTTAAAGCTAAGCTTTACTGTGATGATTACCACTTACGTCTCAAGTGCATTATTGATCAATAAGCTGTCTAAAGCTAAGAGGGTTTTTTAAATCATTCCAATTGCTCTTTATCTGTTACCCTACATTGGGGTATGCGTAAAAAATTTACCTTATTTTCTTCAACTCTTTTTTTTAACTGCTCTTCTAAAACACTCGTCTCTTCTGAGCTTCGCCACTGTAACTGTTCGTATTTTTCCTTTGCTTCCTTAAGTTGCTCGTGTAATACCTGATGCTCTTTTTCCATACGTAAAATATCGCCCTGAAATTTAGGTTATGAAAGAACTTTTGTTATAGCACTCAGTATCCTAGAGTAACAACATGAGTCCACAATACATTCATAGGAAAAGATTAATGTGAACTATGGTCCAAGATCTTAGAGAACTTTGTTGATAAAAGGTTAAAAAGATTTTGAATTCAACTCAAGAAACAAATAGTGATTCAGCACTGAACTAGCATGAACATTTTGAAGATCTGTTCCCCCCCTTGATGTGGGTATAAAACTGCCGTTTAACATTACAGGGAGTTAGATACTCCTATCCACTTGATACTTCTACATCCCAGAATGGAGGGATGTAATCATGCTCAGAATTGTTGGAAAGGAAGAATTACAAAATTCACCACTGAAACTGACTCCAATGTTTGGGCAACAACTAGAGAACCTGAACTCCAAAATTGCCACTTCTTTTTCATTAGACCTCTATGAATTCAACGCTATGACATACTAAAAAGCAGGTCCAAACAAGATGGATGGGAAAAAACAAAAAACAAACAAACCCCAAAGGTCACTAAAATTCTCTGTCATTTTCAGCCAGATTTATCCTTTCACTATAAACTTTTTGGGGATGCTTTTTATCTCAAGCTCCTCTTGATCTATACAAACAAAACGTTTTAATATAGTTTGGAAGTAGTTTGGGTGATTTAAGCACTTGTCCCACAAACAAAAAAATCCTATAATAGATTTTTGTTTTACTACTAAGTGACTAATTTGTTGTTTTATAGCGAGATACTAAATTAAATGACACTGTGCACTTCTTGTTGGGCCCTTAATTCTTCCTTATCTAATTAGCAAAGACTTTCATATCAAATATTGCCTAAGTAAAAATACATGTACTTACTTGTTGAGTTTCAAATGGATAAAAAGGCATGGTATTAGTGTCCCGGTCTGCTAATTCCTGATTTACCTAGAATACAAACAACCACTAGTTATTTAAATAAAAATAAAAAATTATATCCCATCTACACTTGCAACCAGTCCCTTAAAAGCTTTGTAGTGTAGATGGGCCTAACTTAAAGCCACATTAACATCTCTTTTAGATCATGAGTAGTTCCCATCTACCAGACTTGAAGGAACCATCTTGAGGATAACAATATTGTAAATGAGTTCCCTAAAATGGTTGCATGTGTAAGTGAATGCAGGATATTTTGGTTGAACTTTCTCCACTCTCAGGTCAACAAACAGATATTCGTATTATGTTTAAAGAGCAATCCCTTCCCTCAGATTCCTTAAAAAGAAGCTTGAGTGAGCAAGCAGAGTTTCTCTGAAAGCTCAGGGTAGGATTTTCAAAAGTGTTCACGACTGGCCTCCAGCTCTTACTGAAGGCAGAGGGAGTTTTACCATGGACTTTGATGAGAACAGAGTTAGGCCAACAATGAATGCTTTGAAAATACAACTCTGAGTTCAAAAAACAAATTATTACCATGAATAATGTATAATACCTGAAAATACAGCTTAATTATAAATTTGCATTTGATAATCTGTAGCACAGACAGCTCTAAAAAAGTTAAGTTAGGGACAGTGGTGATAATGGAATTCAATATCAGCAAGCTATAAAAATTGTTATATTGCTTTAATAGTACTTTAGTAATCTGACACCGGACTTCTACCATTGCTTGTTCCACTAATGAGGTCATGTGTCCAGGTGAGATGTCTACTACCTGCAGTAGTTTCAGAAATGCAAATTTTATTTGGAAGGTTTTTTTCAAATGCTTATTTGAAGCAACAAATGTTTGGGTTTTCTTTTCTTTGTTTTATCTCCATTAACTTTCAGAGTCCCTAAGAAATCCCTAATATTGAGACAATAGTTACTAAAAGTATGATGCAGTTACATTTCCCACTGTACCAAAAGTCTTAAAAGTTTACTTCTGCTGATCTTGCAATGATTTAAATATGGCACCACTGAAAAAACATGCAATTACTAGGCACATGAGGGGTTCTTTTTTGTAAGTGTTTCATTATATGCAGGTATTAGTTTGAAAACTGTTTTCAAAATGGAAAAAAAAGGGAGAACAATCTGATTTTCTTCCCTTTGGTATGAAGAGAGATGAAGGCACATTTTTATTTTATTTACAAAAATAGGCAAATCCACAATTTGTATAATACCTTCTCATTCCTATACAAATATCTGCCTTTTTGCACTAACATAACCAACTGATATAAATATAATTGTGAAAACGTTAGTGAAGTGGTGTTGAGAAGCCATAAAGGGACCAATCCTGCAAACAGTTAGCTTAAAGTACTATGCTTGTTACTATCTGCAGGACTGGATCCCAAAACAATATGTCAAATTTAGTCTTAGCTCACAGTGGACTAGTAAATACATAGATATTCTGAAATCTTGAATTTAGTGTACCTTAACATAAGATGACAATTTAAATGTTTATGTATTTTAAACTATTTTATTAAATACAGCTGTCTCATTTAGTACGTATCAATTTAAACAACCACTGAAATAAAAAACAAGTTAAAGAACAAGAACCTTCCCCAACCTATAAGATAAATTTTATACTGCTTCTGTAACTCCCTCCCTTTTCATGTAATTTTAGGCATAAAAAATCTCAATGTCCCTTTAAAGTATTAAAGGGACAAATGTGAATGAGCTGCAAAAAGTGGTTGTGTCTGCACTGACAGCTCTAGAGAATTAAATGTTCTATTTATCAAGCAAGAACAGGAAAGGAATTTTAATGCATTACTAGTCAAAGATCCTTAAAAGAGTCTCTTCCTTTAATTTCTTACCTGAATAGCTATCATCCTTGTAAGTGGAATGCTTTTCACTACAGGTGTATTTTTATTCTCAAATTCCATTTTAACAGCAGATAGATCATATTTAACTTCCTTAATACTACTCATACCCTGGTCAAGATTAGCTTCATAAGAGCTGTAGTCTGACTTCACCAATACATTCTGAGCGTCCAGGTATGTTTGTATTTGACTTGGTAGATGATTGCCAGATATGTACTCTCTGTCGAATACTGTTATTTTATCAATATCAAGAGGAGCTTCATAATCAGCATATATATAACTAGGTTGCCCAGCAACATCTGGAATAGGAGGTATTTGAGAAATCATTGAGAACGTTCTTTCATTTTCATAACCCGAAGAAACCTTAGTCAGAGGTATATCATGATTATCAGAAATAGAGGAGTGCAGTAATTCATTTGAAAAAGATAGTGGTCCTTCTATGGTATCAATACTCTGACTAGGGAGAGAATGCAGTGAAATATGAGAAATATGTGAGGAATATCCCGTGACTGAATAATCTGGAGTTTCACAGTTTGCTACTGTAGTATTAGTAGAAATTGGTATATAAGGTTTAATATAAGATACTGGTTTGAATTCCTTAGCAGCTGGGTTTAACTGTAGTTTGCTCTTGGAATTTTCGTGACTATTTTGACAGGCTATTTGATTTTCCTCTTCATTTCTAGTATCTTCTTCAGTCTCAGTATTTTCCTTAAGCAGAATTGCATGCTTCATCAAGCCAATAAGATCATCCATCATAACAAAATGAAGGGATTCCAGAAGGAAAGGTTTCAGACCACCTGCATCTTCCACAACCTTACGAGCTTCTGCAGGGAAATGTTCATATTCTCCAACTAACAATTTATTATCAATTTCCATGGGACCATGTTCCTCCAAGATCTGAGCGAAATAGCTTGAAAAAAAAACAGTTATACTCATTAATCCAAGCATTTTTCATTTCACTTTTAAGTCATACTTGATATTTACATTACTGTTTTAACAGTAATTTCTACAAAGACAAATAGCATTAGTAATGTATTAAGAAACTTTTGAAATAATGTGTTTTTTTTCTGAAAAAAATTGAAGAAACGCCTACTAATTCTAGATATTTGCTCTCTCTAACTCTTCTACAACTGTGACTCAAATTAACTTCTCCAAATACAGTGCCAATATAAAAAGGAGATGGCCAGAGCCAAGAACTAAAATTATGACTTATTGTAATAAGCTGAAAAACAGAATCTCACAGTTAACACTTTATTTCTCCAAAGAGAAGCTAGTGTTATATACTTTATCTGAAGGGCTAGCAAGGAAAAGATAGTACATAATGTAGTTAGCTGAAGTACATGGATGTTAAAAACAAGTAACTGGAAATGTAAATAGGAAACAATAAAAGCTCAGAACCTAGGCAAAGTGTCACTATAGAAAACACTGGGGGGATATTAAAACTAAGATCGCTATTTTAAGTAAGGCCAAGTCAAGTGAACATGAAAGGGAGAACAAAGAAAATAAACCCTATGAAATGAAAACATGCAGGAAATATAGGATTCCTCAAGATTTCTGATGAAGAGTGCTATACAAGTTAGTTTTTCTAGAGAGGAGAGAAAGGTACCTTCACCTGCACTAAAACACTTCAATGAGGAATATGCTGATTAAAGGACATGTTGTCCTTTTGTAAAGAATGAAACCGCTCACACTACTCCATCAAACAACAAAAAACTCCCATCCACACTCCCAATGCTATGCAGAAATAATACAGCTAAGGCAGTAACTGTAACCACCAGAGAAAGAACTCAGTGTGTGTCTAACCTTTCAACTGGTGTACGACAGTAATTACTCTGCAATAGCGTGCAAAGTTCCACTGCTCAGAATAGAAACCAAAAAACAGAACTTGACACAGTATTCAGCAAATAAACTCCAGACTAGAGACACTGGGTAATGTACATTTGTGGGTAAAGTAGACAAAACACACACTGTCCAATAAATTAGGCCTACAATTTGATGTGATCTTTGAATTAGAGATTCTAACTCTAAATTTTCTTTATAATTTGGTGATTGTGGCAATGAGATATTAAGACAAAGACATCCATCTTTAAAACTGGTCATTCTGAGTTACCCTCTCTCAGACACCCTCTACACCAACCATCTCTCTACCATCACCACTGCTATGTTGTGGGTGTTTTCTGTTAAGTAAAAGCAGTAGGTTCTTTAAAACAACTTTTAAGGTTATTAAATTTATAGATAGATAGATAGATAGATAGAGAGAGAGAGAGAGAGAGAGAGAGAAATGTTTCTTTTTTAGGAGTTTGGTTTCTCTGAGGATTTGACAGCAATTTGTATACAGTCATTTCATTGTTTCATCTGTCCATGGAGATCTTTTACACAGCAATAGAGAAGATAAAACAACATTTAGAATATATGGAAATGTTACTAACAAACCACAAAATTTGTCAGGACAACTCAAGGGGGAGGTGCAATAAAAAAACTAACTGAAAATATGTTTTTTGCAAATTGGCTAGGATGTCAAGTTGAGAACATCCGTTTTAGACAGTCAACTAATCTCACTGTAGTTTTAATTTCTGCTGGAAATATTAAATAAGGGAAGAGTGTGTCCATTCTGATCCCTGTGAATTATTCCTTGATGACACAGCTGCCATTTTTATAGTGAAGCAAATGAGATTTAAGTGTAAGTTAGTGTGCCAACAACAGAGACAGACATCTCAGGAAATTAGTAATAATATCAAAATCTTCCACTTCTAAGTCACTTGTTCAGCCTTAACCAAGGGTTGATAGAAATCAAGTATTACCAACTGCCAGCTATCCCGTGGCCTCTGTGAAATAAAACTGGTCATCTCTGTTCAGTTCCCAGCAGACTGATGTCTACATCAAACCCAATAAAAACCACAATTTTTGCATTGAGACCTTTTAACTCAAAGTTGAAGCATATTAGAGGAGGAGGAGGTTAGAACAGATGCTATATCAGCAAAACAGATCAATTCTGCCTCCAAGGCTATAAATCTCCCGGAAACAACCTCCAGCTTTCCCTTTGATGGAATTTCTTGTTCCCTTACATCAGCATTTATAGGGGTACAACTGGCTCTCAATTTATTTGTATTGTTCAAAAGTCTGAGGTATTAATTATCAATTACACTCTAAACTTAAATTTTAGGATGTTTTATTTCTGTCTACCGGTTCAGCATTTCTTCCTTCAGAAAATACTGTGGCTTAAATCTCAAATGGATGATGCAGAATTTATTTTCATGTAAAACAGAAAGTTCACACAAATTAAAAAAACACAAATATTTGAAATGACTGAACAGATAAGTTTACACCTACTCGTATAAATTTTTACATGTTGGGTCTGGGTTATTATCCAAAAGTCTCTGATAATTGTTACTGTCTGAAACATTGTCATACAGAGCTTCAAATTCTTCCACTTGATCACGAAGATATTCTGGAATTATGAAAGGCTCACCAGGATTCATAAAACTTCTGTTGGGAAGAGAAATCTTATGATTTAAACACAACAAAAAACAGACCTTGGTTTACTGGACTCATCCAATTGACTAATAAACAGGACCCAAGATTATTTGATTAAACTAATTTTTAAAGTTTTAATAGTAATGTTAAGAGTGGCTTGGTACCTCTAAGCAACACCCTGAGAGTCTGAATTCCTTGTTGTCAGCTCTTTTTTTTTTTTTTAATTATTATTATTATTATTATTTTATTTTTTTAGGCTAACTACAAAGCCTTTGTAAAGATTTTTTTAACCTTAAATTACTGATAAGTATCCTCAACCTCAACTTTCATCTTAATACATTTTTTGGTCTGATATCTGTTTACGGTATAAATCCTTCCGGGCAGGGACTGTATCTTCTCCTTGTTGTGTAAAACAGCACACTCTGGGGTGCTATACAAAACAATAATAAAGTTGCCTGCTGGTACTCACAATGTATTTTCTTCTGGAAATATACTGTCTTCTTCTCGGGTTACTGCACCAACCCCACCAGATAGTACTAAAATAGGCTAAATTAAAAAAAATTACAATTTTTTTACTCTGCCACAATATATAAAATTCAAAATATCTACAAGACAGTGATCCACCATCAGGAATGTAAGCGACTTATTTGTATCAAATCCTGTTTTAGTTTGACATGTATTCAGATGCCCTATAATGAATTATGAAATTTGACCACCGTGATTACAACAAAAGCTAGAGGACTCTGAGTAAGCCTGCCCAAAAATCCTTCCAGAATTACCGGTAAATGATCGTCTGTTCTTCAGAACTAGTTGTAGAAAGCAGGAAAGGGATGTTCAGCCCCAAATGACTTTTCACTCTTTGTTCATCTAAATCCTATGACATCTTTCTATCTTTTCTTTAACTCTCAAATGTAATCTACGGTCCCTATTCTACAAATATGTAGGCACTTAATTTCATGCATTAGGAATATTCCCACTGAAGTTTTTAGAGGGTTGGGACCAAACTATTTATTCGATTTATATTCTGTGCCTCAATAGGCTTTTCTGTTAACCTGCTCCTTTACATTTGTTACCTTTTAAGTTAAATAAATGTTACCTGCTTTTTTCATTCACTCCTAAATTTCATATTTTTTTTTTGCTTTGTCATTAAGAACAATTTTCATTAACTTCACACATCTATAACTTTAGAAGTACCCTATCGAATACTAATAATAAGTGAAAGATTTTTAACTTCTATTTTACTACAGTTTCAAAGTCAGTTGAAAACAAAGAAAATTCTTTTTGAGGCTCCTTCTTAGCAATGTATCCTCACTAAATTCAGGCCCTGAAAAGCAGAACGAAGGACAGACAGGTAACAGTTCCCACATCTCAGAAGTCAGAAGCAGGACATTATTCCTTAGTTATCTGTTAACCAATATTTGACAGGGTATCTTGTAATGGATTTGTTTTTCCCCCCTGAGCTTTTAAGGGGATACTTTCTGCTTTTTCAGTTACTAACATGTCCCATAAACACAATCAGAAGAACCAGGGGAAGACATTCCCAACGTAAATATTGTTACAGATACACCCTCTCACAACGTGGATCTTCCTTACAGTCCCGGACACATTCACCTTTGTTGATTATGGTACATGAAGCTGTTGGACTGGTAAAAGCTCCTGTGCCAAATCTGATTTGTATTTCCAGTGTGAACTGGAGCCAAAAGGTGTATTTCAGCACTGAAGTAATCACAGTAGATTGTGTTCTCTCTATCTCTACGATACTGAATTCCGCCCCCCCGCCCCCGTATTGAAGTGCAAGGAAATTGTTGGAAATGCTAATGTGGTCAGAACCATGGTTGTTTGTGAAACTATGAATATATTGCCTTTTACTTTCTGTTACTGCAAATTTCAAATACTACATTAATTGCTACTTACAACATTAACTGTACCTTAGTGACATTTTCTATCTAGGGACTTCTCTTTAACTTAACTTCAAGAATATTTCTCAACATGCAGTTTTGGAAAATACTCAGTTTTAGATTTTTAAATACTACAAATTCCAATTTTTAGTAAATCAGCGTATAGAAATAAGCAATACAATTATTACATACCCTTGATTCTTTTGTCTTCTTCTTCCTATTTTTGTTTTTAACTTTGATACCATTAGTCTAAAACAGAAATATAAAGTCAATAGCTACTCATTAAGGAGAGGTTACCATGTGTTTCTTACACTGACACACACAGTTCTTCAATTAAAACTCTATCATTTGGAATAATAATTTACAGAGCACAACAAGCAGTGGTTTTTTTCACTTCTGGAAACCCATGTGGGAAAATAATTTGGCAAAAGTCTTGTATTTAGACTGTTCCACTCACATGAGTTCTCTGTTTTCCTCATTCTCCACTTTTATTATAGGGAACATGGGTTTTAAAAAGAGAATTGACAATTTTTCTGTTTCTACCGCTTGTTCCCCACATGAAGCAATGATTCTGTTCTGTGACAACTTCTCTAACAGTCCACTGTGATGTCACAAACACCACAACTTCACGTAAGGACTAAGCTTCAGAAACAGGGCAACTGTTGACCATCTTGTTCACATCAAAAATATCTCTATGTGATAAGTGAGGGAGGGAATTAAGAATTATCTTCACTTATTGTTAACAGGAACTGGGAACTGAACTGACACAACTGACTGAAAGATTATTTCCTCTCCAATTTTTCTCTAATAAAGGTATTTGTCTTCTCAATTTATGTTTAACACTGAAGTCTAATTTCCAACAACAATTATTTGTGGCAAATTGTAGCAATACCTTATGTCATTAGCTTACTTTGATATAGAAATAATACACCAAAAACACAAATATTTTAATACAACAACATTTACATTACTCTTCAACTTTAGTTTCCCCTGAAACTGGAAGATAGCACATGGTTCCACATTCCATTGACATCTACATTCATTAAACTTGTCAAAACACCCATTCTGTGTATCAGAAGTTAACTGTATTACATAGGGGGACTAATTAGCAAGCAGAAACACATGAGCACCACTGACAAATGCATATTCTGTTATTCCACTTGGCAGAAATATGACATTACTAAAGTTGTATGGTAGCAAACTAGTAAGATATGATTCAGAATAATGGACAGCAAAGGCTTTAAGTATTTTTTTTTTTAAATCATTGTTGTACTCTGAAAAGTGACTGTAAAAATGTCAATGTGTAGTTCTCAGTTTGTCTTAAATGACCTGAGCAAATATGCTGAGGTCCTTAATAAAGAATAATTTTTGCAATTACTAGCCTTGCAAGCTCAACTTGAGATCTGATAGTCAAGTTGGGTTCTTTCCCTGTCACTTACGATTTTGAAATGTATAGTACGTGAAGTGGTCAGAGTTACTGCTGGTTGTTGTCAGTGTTACTACAAAAAGACCTTGAGTTCAATTTCGGATTCAAAGTTGGCAGTTAGGGAAAAAAACAAAAAACAAAAAACACAGAAATAAAAATCCAACTGTCTTTTACCTATAAAGTGGTAAATTTATCTGACCCACCACCACCACCACAATGCTATTTTTACAGTGATACTTTTCACATTGAAACCACACATTAGTTTCAAGTACTGTTTCTAAAGCTCACATGAACCAGGTGGCTTCTTTGCTCTAGCAAAAAATAAATAAATAAAGGGAGGGGGTACATTTGCCACGTCACATTTTTCCTTGTAAAACATAAGTCATAGATAGCTGGATTCCTCCCCACCCCCAATAAAGAGAAAACAGAAGAAAAGTTGTTTGGCCAAAATGCAAAATGAAATGCTGTGCTGAAAGATTTTTTTTTAAAAGAAGAAAACCAAAGTTCTTTGTTCACTTCTTTAAGGCTTTAAACTCCCCTTCTACCCCCTCCCTCCCCCCACCCCCATCTCCCCAATTCCTGGTAAAGGTTTTTTATGCTTGTTTTTTAAATTACAAATATTGGAGTCTTGTTTCGATCATTTATGAATGGAGAACTATAGGATGTCATCACAGTGACAAAAGACAAAAACCTGAGCAAATGAAAGAGAAAAGGATCATTAGCCTGACTGTTTCACTGTTTTGTTAATATCTGTCAGGATGTTGAATTAAATAGACACTTGGAGAAAATCTGTCTATTTAAAGATTCCAAATCTCCCCCAACTCCATAACTGAGAGCTGAGAACACTCCCATACTTATTCTCCAGTCTTTTAAGGAGTGATCCTCCAAAAACCAAGGAAGACTTGATATTCACAATACTTCTCCTTTTTCTAACTGCAGATTGTTTTGTATACCTTTCAGGCCTTCAAAACAAAACAAAAACCAAACAAAACAGAAGTACACAATTTTCACTTTCTATTTTGCAAGTCCCCTTAAAAGAACAGGAAGTGAGCATGCATCTTCATTATACTTTGTGTCCACTGTGATGGTTTACTGTTGAGTCTGTATTTGTTCATTTTTCAATTTATTATTTAAAAAACTTACGGAGAGATCTTCATTTTCCTGCTTCTTTAATATAATGCAAGGAACATCTATTGAAAGAAAAATATTAAATTACTTTAAAGGAAGTTGTAAAGTAGTACACAAAATATTAGATTCTGTAAATTATGAGATTTTGGGGATAAAAAAAATTAATCTTTAAAATATCTCCCAGAATAAAAAAAGTTATTCTCTAGAATTTCATTCCTGCTAAGACGGCATGCACATGGTTGGAGTTAAGCACTGGTTTTACTGGAACTATATATATGTTTAAGGGTAAGCCCATGCATACGTCTTTGCAGGATTGGGACTTACAAGTGGAACATGGTATCTCTCATTCTCACACAGCCTCGAGAAGGGCTTAGCATTTCAAGGTACTCTAAAGTTAAACTTCTCCAAATTAAAATAACTTTATTCTGAAGACAGAACTCTATGAACTCCTTTAAAATAACCGCAGCAGATAAAAATTCTAACTTCTCAACAAGTCAAAGTAAAACCTGCTGTACACTGCATTTTGTATTTCCAATTTTTGAAATACATGGGTAAAATCTTTATCTATGCATAACCAAACATTTTAATAACATTTATCATCAGGAATCAACCTAATTCCTTAAAAATAGCTGTCCATAATTTAAAGCTACTACCGGACAGCATTACAATATAAATAATGCTAATTATTAGTGTCATTTGATTTAAATAACTCTGAACTGTACTAGCTGCATTCTTTTTTTACATGCTCCTGCCTCTTTAGACTGTTCAGTCTTCAATATGGAACTTAGAAGATCCAATATGCAATTTATCGGAGAGGCTAATACTATCCCAAGATTGTATCATTTAAATTACAGTGTCACCACTTTCCTAGGATAATTCACAATAACATAGATGGGGAGTAAAGGCAGGCACAAGAGGGCACTTATAAAAGAAATAAGCTGTATACATTTACCCATTTTATCAAAGAATTCGTCTAAAGCTTGATGCAGAGATGGAAATTTCTCTCTATTATCCTCTAATAGCCATATTACACAACGAGTTTCCTTCAATGATGCTTCATAGAAACACTTAAGTATTTCATTATCTTCAAAGCTGGTCAACACATTGCCTAATTTACTGCCATACTTCTCATTCCAGAGAATGGTTATAAAGCTAAGGTCAAGCTCTTTAACAATATCTCCATAACGAGAGAAAAAGATCTTTGTGGCTTCCAAACCTGAAATGAAAAAAATTAATATCAGTTAATAAATTCAATTTAGGATTTAGGTTATTCCAATTTAGGGCTGAACGTTTGACATCTCCTACAGAACAGTTTGCTCCAAAACCAGATGTAAGGCTGCCAAAACTGAAGATATATACTGTAGCCTTGAAAAGTGCAAACAATCAGAACAGGTTCCAAAAAAATCAAATTTTTACTCTACCATCAATTTCGTAAACGTGTCTATTGCCTGTCAGAGTACAGGTAACGGAATCCAATTTTTAAAAACTGATTTTACCCCATTTTTGGCATTTATTACATATCTTATCCCATTTTACTTGTAACATACACCCTACATTTTAATCAAACAACAAACGAAATAAAGCTCTATAGCAGGGCAACATTACCAAAAAAGTTAGAAGCTGACTTCTTCAAACTGTAGTCAGCTAAACAGAAGATTAGCATTCCAATTTGTAAGGCCAAGACAATAAATAATTGGTTACTTTGTAGAAAATGTTTAGATTTATCCCTATTTTATAGACTGTCTTCTCCATTCTGGATTTTAAAGAGACAGATTCTCTACATCTAATCCTCTCCTACTGGCAAAGTTCCGTACAAATCAGTTGCAAAGAGTCCAATATTTCAAATCAATTTATCTGCCATTTAAACCACCTTCATTTTAGGAACTTAATTAGCTATAGACAGAACAGTATTTAGTTCTATGAAGTGCAATACTTAAAAGAGCAATTCTACTCTGGAGAGTGACTTAAAATGCCACCTTATTACTCAGATGCATTTTGTTTGCATTACGAAAACATCTGACCACTTCAGTGACAGGTTCTTTTACTGTTTTTGACAGCACTGCAGAGCCAAGTGGGGTTGCCTAGGGGAAACTGAGGGCAGAATTTCTGCTGTAGAATATATGATTGAGGATTACACCACAAGTCAGAAAGAACAAAGCTTGACTTTAAGATCCTTGGTTGAGAATGCAGAGCTGGCAACTAGGGATCTTTTAGCCATCTTTTAATTTGTAAACTGAACAAATTCCATGTGAAACCAGAGACAAACATGGAACCACATGATAGCATACTACAGACTTGCTTTCCAGTAAATGGAGAAAAAGAAAGGTGGAAAGCATGCTTAATTTTATAATTTCATCTGCAAATTAAGTCATCTTACAGTTATATGAAATAGGACCTACCAAAACTGTTAAGATCTTTTATCCACTCATGTAATTTGGGATCCACTTCTTCAAGCTCACTCAGCACATGGACAAAAATTCTTGTGTTTACTCTATTCTTCTTCTGAATTAAATGACTTATGAGCTGCTCCATCACTTCATTTGATGTACTGCTACTTGTGGAACACATGCTGTAATCCTCCTCACTTATTACCCACCAAGAAAGTAGTTCACTTAGAAGTTTGGAAGTGTCATGTATACCAGTTTTTATCTGTTCAACATTCTGCAAAATATGCTGCAGGACTCTATCACTAGCAAATAAGAACTTCTGAACATGACCTATAACAAAATAAAGCAAGATTGTTATGTCAGTTTAGAACAGCTGCAAAACAGAATCAACCCCAAAATATAGATCAACTTTATTACATTATTTTTTAAATGTTTTTTATCATGTGAACTGGAACTCAGATTTAACTACAAGGGTTCTACTTGCACTTGCTATAGACTAACAGAATTTCTCATACTGGTAATTGAATTTTAGATGCATAAGAAACTGATTTACAAATGGAGCAAACCATACTTCCTCAATTAATATTAGAAAGAAAATTTTAACTACCAGTAATTTTAGCTTCAAATTACCACCACATGGAATGCATATGCACTCTGGGTGCCTAGATGGAACTCTCCAGAGCAGCAGTGACCAGTGTGGATGCATGCATCTGAACATTATGTTTTAAGGGTATTTATGGAACCTTGGCCTTATCCCTGCCTGAAAGTCTTTGCAAAAGACACTGAAGAAAAGACAGGTGGCAAATGTGAGAACTACAGTCACTAGCAAGTAATCTTTCTTTCTCCTTCAAAAACTGCCTCTAACAGACTGCCACTTGAGAGACTAACTAGCACTAACTACCTTCGAAGAAGAGGAGTCTGAAGATAAATTAAAAAAAAAAAAAAAGACTGAAGTGCTGCTCTCCCCCAAATTTGGGACCAGACCTACCCAAGTCTAAAGTAATGGTGGTGTGCATGTATGAACTGAGCACCAGATAGCAGCCTTACACATCTGTGATACATGTCTGAGGAATGCTGGTGATGATAATTTAGTACCCTATGTAAGGATATTTCAGGATTGATTCAATAGGCCCACAGATTACCTCACAAATCCAAGAAACGCAGACAAAACCACTGCTTACGCCGAGTTCTTAGAGCCAAGGACCAGGCTTCATTTGCATAAATACAAGATGCTACACCCCGGTGATCAGGTGGCAGGTAGCAGGCCAGTGAATTGGGACATGGGTGATTAGACTCAGGCCCAAATAATGCAGTGTAGACACTCAAGCTCTAGGCTAACAAACCTAGGGTCTGCTAACTGAAGTTCTACTAACCCTGGGCTTACATTGCAGTGTAGACATACCCTTTGGCTGATACAGGCCTGCCATGGGTGTTTTACTGCAGTATAGACATAGTCATAGAGATAGAGACTTTAGGTCATGACATGATCTTTTATGCACAATATTACATATCTTTTATCAACACCCTTTTATGCACTGGCTACCCCAAATCTTTCCTATTTGGTATTATTTAATGCCATACATGATGTTTCAAATTACACAATAAGTTACATAGCACGTTGCTTCCCTTTTTAGCAATAACAAAGCTATCAATTCTATTATTTGACAAGGATTGTCCTTGTTTTCCCTAGACACTCCAAAAAGTCGGTAATAGGATGTTCAAATGTTAATAATTTTTTTTTGCCAGGAATCTTTGTTCACACTTTTATCTCTATAAGATTATACAGAATTCATAACAACTACACTCAATTACTCAGGCCTACAAAAGCTACATAGATATTGCTTATACATCTACGTATACACTGCTAATCAATTATCCACTAAATAAGGATTAGGCCTTTATCATGTTACATAAGGTAAGCTCATCTAACAAATGCTTTAGTCCCTTACACCCTAAAACATTTTGGATCAGATACACCTGCAAGAACAATACAGAGCGCACCCCCTCACCTTTCATCTGGGCTTATGAACAGGTTTGGTCTAATTAAATGGTAGCTCTGAACTCCTAAGCTCCTAAAGATATGTAACCTAGGCCTTGGCTACACTTGCGAGTTACAGTGCTGTAACGCCGCCCCCAGCGCTGTAACTCACTCCCCGTCCACACTGGCAAGGCATTTGCAGCGCTGTATCTCTGTGGTTGCAGCGCTGCATATACTCCACGTCCCCGAGAGGAATAGCGAGTATTGCGCTGCCGTTGCAGCACTGCGGCGCCAGTGTGGCCGCCCAATGCGCTGTGAATGGCCTCCAGAATTATTCGGCAGTATCCCACAATGCCTGTTCTATCCACTCTGGTCATCAGTTCAAACTCTACTGCCCTGGCCTCAGATAACCAACCATGTGACCCACCCTTTACATTCCCCGGGAATTTTAAAAATCCCCTTCCTGTGTGCTCAGCACGGCGTGGCGTGGAGTGCAATCAGCGAATCTTTCCAGGTGACCATGCCTCCACGCGCCAAGCGAGCCCCAGCATGGAGCAATGGCGAGTTGCTGGACCTCATCAGTGTTTGGGGGGAGGAAGCTGTACAGTCCCAGCTGCGCTCCAGCCGTAGGAATTATGATACCTTTGGGAAGGTATCAAAGGACATGATGGAAAGGGGCCATGACTGGGACGCCCTGCAGTGCAGGATTAAAGTGAAGGAGCTGCAGAGTGCCTACCGCAAAGCCCGCGACGCAAACGCCCGCTCAGGTGCTCCCTCTGTGACCCCACCTCCACTCTGAGCACCACCATGGACACTTCAGAGCCGGTGGGGGGAGGGGGGGGAGAGAAGGAGGAGGAGGAGGAGGAAAACGGGAGTGATGGTGGTGGGCCGGATAGAGACACCCCGGAATCCCTGGAGCCATGCAGCCAGGAGCTCTTCTCGAGCCAGGAGGAATGGAGCCAGTCGCAGCGGCCGGTACTTGGTGGAGGACAAACAGAAGAGCAGGTTCCCGGTAAGCGGGTTTTTTTTCGGGAAGGAATTTTTTCGGTGCGAGCTCTTTGGGAGAGGAGGGTTAGGCATGCATGCCTAGATGTGGAATAGTGCATTGATGTGGTTTATCACATCGCGGTAATCGGCCTCGGTAATCTCGAATGTCTCATCCAGAACCTGTGCAATGCGCTTGCGCAGGTTTATCGGGAGAGCCACCGTGGTCCTTGTCCCAGTCAGGCTAACGTGTCCGTGCCACTGTGCCGCGAGGGGACCATTGCTGCACACAGGCAAGCTGCATATGGGCCAGGGCGGAAGCCGCATTGCAGTAGAAGACCCTCCCTTGCTTCCCAGGTCACCCTCAGCAGCGAGGTATCGTCCAGGACGAACTCTTGTGGAAAATGTTGGGACAGTGTTCAGTGTAGGTGTCCCCTGAAGCTGTTGGCTCTCCCCAAGGCACAGAAACCCAGAGGACAGTGCAGCCCTGAAACAATCAGTTCCCCTTACTCACCATTTTGAGGCTCCCGTGGGATACGTGTGCTCTGTTTCGGACGGGAAAATTATGCTATTTTGTAGACCCTGTGTGTTTTCTACTCCTTAAGTGCGGGGGGAATAATTACTCTGTCTGGTATAAACAATGCTGCCTCTGTTAAATGTTTCATTTTGCCTATACAGCAGCATCAACCTTGAGACCTCAGCCGTCCCTCTTATCGCCTGCTCAGAGACTGCAAAGACGCAGGAAGAGACCGCGAAAAAGCAAAGAAGACATGCTGCAAGAAGTGATGCAGCAATCTATTAAAGAGAATGAGAAAGCACAGAACTGGAGGGAGAGAGAAAGCAGGATCCGCCAGGAAAACGCAGCGCACCGGCGGCAAAGCACGGATCGGCTCATCCTCGAGCGCCAAGCAGACGCTATCCAGGAGCTCGTAGCCATGCAGAAAGAGGAGCAGTACCGCAAACGCAAACCCCACCTGTCAAGGCTGCTTCCCCACTTTGAACTTTAGGGTACAAATGTGGGGGCCTGCATGAAAACTTCTAAGCTTAACTACCAGCTTAGATCTGGTCCACTGCCACCATCCCAGAGCTAATTCCCTTCCCTGGGTAGCCTTGAGAGACCTTCAGCAATTCCCTGGTGAATACAGATCCAAACCCCTTGGATCTAAAAACAAGGAAAAATCAATCAGGTTCTTAAAAAGAAGGCTTTTAATTAAAGAAAAAGGTAAAAATCCTCTCTGTAAAATCAGGATGGGAAAATAACTTTACAGGGTAATCAAACTTAAAGAGCTCAGAGGACCGCCCTCTAGCCTCAGGTTCAAAATACAGCAAACAAACAGAGATAAACACTCTAGTAAAAGGTACATTTACAAGTTGAGAAAACAAAGTAAAACTAACACGCCTTGCCTGGCTGTTTACTTACAAGTTTGAAATATGAGAGACTTGTTTAGAAAGATGTGGAGAACCTGGATTGATGTCTGGTCCCTCTCAGTCCCAAGAGCGAACAACCCCCAAAACAAAGAGCACAAACAAAAGCCTTCCCCCCACAAGATTTGAAAGTATCTTGTCCCCTTATTGGTCCTTTGGGTCAGGTGTCAGCCAGGTTACCCGAGCTTCTTAACCCTTTACAGGTAAAAGGATTTTGGAGTCTCTGGCCAGGAGGGATTTTATAGTACTGTACACAGGAGAGCTGTTACCCTTCCCTTTATAGTTATGACATCAGCACCCCCACAGCTCTTGTCCCAAAACTCTTTCCGTTGTGCCCCACTGTCACCTCCAACCCACTTTCCCCAACTTCTGTGTTCTTCACGCCACCCACTGCCTCCAACACCAGTATCTTCACCACCCAGCCCTGAAAACCACGACCCTTACCCTCTGCACTCAACCCCCATCACCATGCAGTATAGCTATCCTGAAGTGCAGCACTCACTGCACAGCACACCAGACAGGACATACGCGAATCTGTGATTGTACTGTTCCCCACTCCACCGCCTTGTTTCTTTTCAATAAATGGATTTTTTGGCTTTGAAAACATTCTTTATTATTGCATAAAGTAAAAGACTCCTTAGCCCAGGAAATAAACAGGCACTGCAAGTCTGCTTGTCTGCTTAGCAGACACTGATTCCTAAAGATTGGAACTACTGCACTTCACTCCCGTGCAGGGCACCAGATATCACTGCTGGTTTTCAGCCTCAAATTGCTCCCTCAAGGCATCCCTAATCCTTGCAGCCCCGTGCTGGGCCCCTGTAATAGCCCTGCTCTCTGGCTGTGCAAATTCAGCCTCCAGGTGTTGAACCTCGGAGGTCCATGCCTGAGTGAAGCTTTCACCCTTCCCTTCACAAATATTATGGAGGGCACAGCACGCGGATATAACCGCCGGGATGCTGTTTTCGGCCAAGTCCAGCTTCCCATACAGAGATCGCCAGTGGCCCTTTAAACGGCCAAAGGCACACTCCACAGTCATTCGGCACCGGCTCAGCCTGTAGTTGAACCGTTCCCTGCTGCTGTCAAGGCTCCCTGTATAAGGTTTCATGAGGCACGGCATTAACGGGTAAGCGGGATCTCCAAGGATCACAATGGGCATTTCAACTTCCCCTACCGTGATCTTCCGCTCTGGGAAAAAAGTCCCGGCCTGCATCTTCCTGAACAGCCAAGTGTTCCGAAAGATGCGTGCGTCATGCACCTTTCCGGGCCAGCCTGTGTTAATGTCAATGAAACGCCCACGGTGATCCACAAGAGCCTGGAGAACCATAGAGAAATACCCCTTCCGATTAACGTACTCGGATCTTAGGTGGGGGTGGTGCCAGAATAGGAATGTGCGTCCCATCTATCGCCCCTCCACAGTTAGGGAACCCCATTTGTGCAAAGACATCCACTATTTCCTGCATGTTACCCAGAATCATGGTTCTTCTGAGTAGGATGCGATTAATGGCCTTGCAAACCTGCATCAACACGATTCCAACGGTCGACTTTCCCACTCCAAACTGGTTTGCGACCGACCGGGAGCTGTCTGGAGTTGCCAGCTTCCAGATTGCAATTGCCACCTGCTTCTACACTGGCAGGGCAGCTCTCAATCTCGTGTCCTTGCGCCGCAGGGTGGGGGCGAGCTCCTCACACAGTCCCATGAAAGTGGCTTTTCTCATCCGAAAGTTCTGCAGCCACTGCTCGTCATCCCAGACTTCCATGACGATATGATCCCACCACTCGGTGCTTGTTTCCCGAGCCCAAAAGCGGTGTTCCACGGTGCTGAGCATGTCTGTGAATGCCACAAGCAATTTAGTGTCGTACGCGTTACGCGGCTCGATAGCATCGTCGGACTCCTCACTCTCACTGTCACTTTGGATCTTAAGGAATAGTTCGACAGCCAAACGTGACATGCTAGCGAGATAAGTCAGCATACGCCTCACCAGTTCGGGCTCCATTTCCCACAGACAGATCACGCTGCACAGAAACCGTTGAAAGATGGCGCCAAAGGTGAACGGAAACAAAGGGATTTCTGGGATGCGAAGCGATGCATCACGGGGCGTTGGGACAGGACCCAGAATGCCCCGCACCCAAGCCCCCTTCCCACAACCCACGGCGCCAGAATGGGAAAAGGTGCTCTGTGGGATAGCTGCCCATAATGCACAGCTCCCAACAGCGCTGCAATTGCCGCAAATGTGGCCACGACAGTGCGCTGGGCAGCTGTCAGTGTGGACAGACTGCAGTGCTTTCCCTACTCAGCTGCACGAAGTCAGGTTTAACTCACAGCACTGTACATCTGCAAGTGTAGCCAAGGCCCTAGTTTCCCCAACATGGAAGGAGGTTTCAGGAAAGAATAACTGCAGATTTATGCATTGATTCAGATGGAACTTGGAAACCACCTAGGGAGAAACTTGGTGAAGGAAGTACTCTTATGAAACATTGTATAAGGAGGACCAGCCAGTAAATCTTAGATTTCCCCTACCTGAGGTTACAGTACAAAGACCATGGGTTGGAAGGGTAGATAGTATAAAGATAACACAGAGGCTCAAATGTTGGTTCAACAAGCATTGGATTCCAACTCCAAGAAGGTGGCAGCTCTCAAACAGGTGGAGATACATTACACAATCCTTTTAAAGAACTTAACATTAGGATGTTAAAATATGTAGTATCTTTGAAAGGGTAAGTGATATGCAGCTATCTTAACAGAACTCAAGGAAAGTCAAGAATACATAAGCAAAAACAGATCATCCAAATTTAAAGGAATTGAGAAAGTCCCTGGTATGAGCCACAAAGAAACACTCTCACTTCAGAGCATAAGTTTCACAGCTCTCCAGAAGAACTTCTTGAACTGCTTGTGAACACTCAATGTCCACATTTAGCAACACATCACAAATTCAGATTTCAAATCTGGATGAAGACCCTGACCAGATCCAATCTGACCAAGTGAGCCGGCAGAAGAACGGAGACACTTATTTATGCTAAGTTAAAAGATCTGAGATCTAAAGAGAGTTTCAAAAGGGAGGTGCCAGAGAACTAAACTAAGGAACATTCTCCACAGATTATTTTCAATCCCCACTCTCCTAACGCTATTTCATTCTATGCTGCCTGGAGGGAAAAAAGGGTCCCAAAGGGGAGCAGGGAAGGGAAAGACTGTGCTCTGATTGCACCAAGGGCATGTGTTCATCCCATACGTGAGAATCTACACACGTAATTCTCGAAAGAGAATTAAATTAAAGCAACTATCCACTATCTTTTCCACAACTAATACATACAAAATAGTAAACCGTTTAATGTGAAACGTAGTATTTTATTTAATACTGTATTGTCTAATTTTAGCAGCAAAGCCTATGAAAAGTAAATTAAATTCTAAATTAAAGCTTGCCACAGCCATCTTATCTCACCCATTTTTGGTAAATACATTTGCATTTGGACGTTAGCACTACAATAAATATGTACACAGCTATTCTGTTCTAGAAAGATTCTTCTGCTGTGTTCATCACTAGAGTATTTGAGCATCTTCCCGTAGTGCATTGACTAGGGCTCCTATGCACCATGGTAATACAAATCATCAAGTCATTAAGCAACAAGACTATACAAGACACTCCAGATCAGTATTTACAACCCTTTCCTTGAAATAATACTCATCTTCGATTCACTGAGGGTACATTAAAACTGCTACTTATGCTAATCAAAATATCCATTTGTTTATATGATAATGTACAGCAATACATTAGAATACAAATGTATTCTACAACAAAATACCTTAAACTTCCACGTACCTTTATGACTATCATACTTAGATATATTATCTTCCCTTTTATTTTCTTCCACGCTATCCTTGGCAGAGTTCAGTGCTTCTTCTCTTACATGCTTTCTCTTTATTTTTTTTTCTTCTTTTATTTTTAGCTTCCTAGAACTGATAAATGAAACTGATCAGTGAGGCAAATCAGCCTCAACTATCAATAGACGATTTTTTCTCTGGCAGTTTACAAACCATTCTCCACCTATTAGAACATTTGTCAGCTTACATTATAAAGTTTTCACAGTAGAAGTCATTAGTCAAATGATAGAGAGGTAAAATTTGAATTTAGCTATTCTTCAGTTAAAAAGTAATGGAGACCATCTACCTTCAGGCATACTGAACAACTTATTTGAAGCTTGTAGATGTAGAGAGAATATCCTAAATATTTTACAATAATCTGTATTAGGAGGAGCTGACTTTAAAAGACACTATGATGTAGCATGCATGCCCATATTTACATCTAACATGTACAAGATGTTGAGTTATTTATAAATAAATGTTAAAAAAAACTTTCCCAAAGTTCCTATGACCAACTTAAGTAACACAAGAAATCCATCTTTACACATGTATCTCTCATTACTTGGAATATGAATTCCAATAATCTAAACTCCTACCTAAACGAAACCAGTTTAGTGAATATCTCATTCCTTCAGATAAATTTTCCTTTTGGAACAAGATTAAGGGGAATAAAATCCTGAGGATCCATACTGAACCTGTCCAATACATATTTACAGTATTTATCCCCTTACTATAAAGCACCAGTATTTACCACTCTGTCAAATCTGTTGTGAGCAATAAATGCAAACTCCTTTAGCGATATTACAGTAATGCCAAGACTGTGCTAATCAAACATTTGAACGTAACCTGTATACACAATTCAGTTTTTAAACAGCATTTTCTTAGGATCCATATAGAATTTTTCAGTCAAGTAAACACTCTAGGGTAGAGGTGCTCAAGCAATGCCCCTCCCACGTAGCTTGAATCTAGCCATTTCCTTCCTCCCACTTAACAATATGAGAAGGATTGAATAGTTACAACCTCCAGATTGACAACTCATGCTCTAATGCGGCGTTTCTCAACATTTATACCAGGGACCGGCTTCCTGCCTTTCTAAACTATGTCTGGGAAATCTCAGGGAGTGGGAAGGAGGCTGCTATACAGGTTACTTACCTGTAACTAATCTTCAAGATGCGTAGTCCCTATCTGAATTCCACTGGGGGTTACACATGCATACCATGCACCTGGAGACGGAGAATTTGAAAGTCGTGTCTGTTGGTCTGCGCATGAGCCCTGGTTCACCTGGTGCCTCCGACTGAGAGGATAAAGGGCGGGGTGGACATATCGCCTCTCCAGTTATTTCTCTACCAAAAATCAGATAAGATCCGAAGCAGAGAGGAAGGAGGGCAGGTAGTGGAATACAGATAGGGATCACACATCTTCAAGGACCTCCAGTTAAAGGTAAGTAACCTTCTCTTCTTCATCGAGTGATGGTCCCTACTGTACGCCACTGCAAGTGATTGACAAATAGTACCTAAGTAGGAGAAAGATGAGAGGATGTACACAGTAGGATTGAGTGGAGTACTGCCATCCCAAAGGAGGCATCAGCAGAAGAGTTCAGCACCAGGGCATAATGTACCTCCTCAAGAGATGCTATAGTCGTTGCTTAAGCCATGGTGGAATGAGCTCTTACCTGTGGGGGGGAATGAGGGGAAGGGGAGGGTTTGGGTTTGAGAGCTGATAGAGTAGAATGGAGCTGGATATCTATTTGGAGATTCTCTGGTGGAGATGGCATGCCCTCCGACTCTTTCTGCTACAGTGACAAACAGTTTCAGGGATTTCCTGATTGGTTTTGTTTTCTGCAGGTAGAAAGCCAAAGCTCGTCGAAGATCGAGGGAGTGGAGTCTTCATTCTTCTGCAGAAGTGTGTGGCTTTGAGAAGAAAGCAGGTAAGCGAATGGATTGGTTAAGGTGAAATTCCGACTTTAGGGATGAATTTGGGGTGTAGAGATAAAGAAACCTTATCCTTATGAAATACAGAATATGGAGGATCTGCCAAATAGAAAATACAGGGGTACTGCAGTATAGAAAAGCTTGAGCTCCAAGTTTGCCAACCCTTCTCACTGATGGCTACGAGAAAGGCGACTTACATGGAAAGGAGGGAATATGGAACAAGTAGCTAAAGGCCCAAAGTGGGGCTTATTAGCACTGAGAGAATGAGATTCAGGTCCCACTGGGGTGCAAGCATCTGAGGAGGTGGGAAGGTTCTTATTAAGCCTTTCTAGAATCTATTGGTCAGTGGGTGAGTGAAAACTCAGTAACCTTGAGAAGGTGGATGTGGCAGTGGACTGGAGTGTTTGATCTTGCCGTTCCACTGAGTCAGGTGCTCAGGAAACATTGGGAGAATGATTGGTGGGTGAGACAACATGTGTAGAAGGCTAGGAAACCAGAACTGTCTGGGCCAGAAGGGGGTAATCAGGATGACCCTCACTCTGTTCTGCAGGATCTTGCCTAGAGCTCGTGGCAGGAGGGTGGTGGAGAGAAGGCATAGGCATAGGTGAACTTGATCTTATCAAGTAAGAAGGAGACCATCGCCCTGGGAGCGGTGACCTAGGGCTCCTCTGGAGCAATACGTAGTGCATTTGCTGTTTACTTGAGAGGTGAATAGATCCCTGGTTGGGATTTCCCCATATAATGAAAATGTTGCGGAGTACCACATCATGAAGCCTCCTCCCACTCGTGATCGATTGTGAAATGTCTGTGAGCATATTCTGCTTTCCTGGGAGGTAGTCTGCTGATCGGGTGATTTGACTGCTGACTGTTGTAGTGTTGTCTGACATTATAAGGACATGGTGATGGGGATGAATGGAAGAAAGAACTCACAAGCCTTCCGTACTGTCTGTAGTTCCAGGATATTGATATGCATCCCGGCCTCCCAAGATGTCCAAACCCATTGTGCTGTGTGGTTGTCCATGTGGGCTCCCCAACCTAGTGGGGCTGTATCCATAATGATGTTCCTGTCTGGAGAGGAAGAGAGAAAGGGGACCCCACGCATATTTAATGAGAATTTGTCCGCCATAGGAAGGACGCCAGTACCTTGCCAGGAACTGTCACCATGTGGTTCATGGAATGACGGTTTATACCTGAAGGCAACAAAGGTGGAGTCTGGCCAATGGGGTGATATAAGTGCACAAGGCCACATGACCAAGTAGGGACAGAAGTGTTTTGCCCGGTACCTGAGGACAGTTTGTGATGTGAGCTATGATATTGTTCATGGTCTGAAACCCGTCTGTGGGCAGGTACGCCCTTGCGCTGATATAACTTGGGGGTGCCCCAATGGTGTCTAAAGATTGTGTGGCGCGAGAGCAGATTTTTCCATGTTTATGCTGACTCCCAGTGCAGAGGGAAAGTGTAGCATTATTCAACTCAATGCATAGGCCTCCTGGTGTGGCAGCAAGGAGCCAGTCATCAAGGTATGGGAAAGACAAGAAGGCCATGACGTCTAATGTGGGTTGCAACAACTGAGAATATCTTGGTAAAGACTCTGGGTGCAGTTGCTATTCTGAAGGGGAGTATCTTGTACTGAAAATGGTTGGGGCCCACCATAAATCTGAGAAAATACTTGTGGGTGGAGTGGATATCTAAGTGAAAGCAAGCATCCTTCATATTGAGAGCCATGGATCACATGCCATTTTCTAAAGATGGAATTAATGCTGCTAACGTGACCAATAGAAATCTGAGTTTGCGAATGAAGTGGTTGAGATGGTGAAGGTCGAAGACTGGTCTCCAACCACTCTTCTTTTTAGGTATTAGGAAGGAGGTTGAGTAAAACCCTTTCCCTTGGTATTGTGGAGGAATGTGTTCTATTGCTCCTCTCTGCATTAAGGAATCCACCTCTTGTGTGAGCCAATTCTTGTGAGAGTGGTCCCTAAAGGGGGACGGGGAAGAGGGTTTCGGGGAGGTAGTGATGCAAACTATCACATAGGCAAAGTGGATGACATTCAGCACTCACTTGTCTATTTTTATTGCACTCCAGCTGTTGAAAAAGAGACCTAGACAAACCCCGAATGATGTGCTGGAGTCAGGAGGTGGTGGGCTTAGTGGTTCATGGCTCTTGAGCTCTCGTCAAAGATAACGTTGAGCTGATGGCTGAGACTGAGATGCAAAGCCTGTTGTGGAGGATGTAGGGAAGCAGGACTTCTGTATACTCTCTCTTATGTAGTGACTCATAGGGCCTCTGATAGAAGAACTGTTGAGCCATATACCTCAATTTGGCCGATGGGCAATGAAACTTCCTCTTAGGACCAGGTGTGTATATCCCCAGCGATCAGAGGGCAGCCCTAATCCTTCCGGATATGGAGGGACTCATCTGTCTTCTGGTTGAAGAGGTGCTATTCACCTTGCTGTGATGTGAGCTTCCCCAAGGCAGTACAGGCAGTGTTGGTGGCTGTCACCGACAGAGAAGGATCATGGGCAGGAAGAACAGAGTTTGAAGCCTGGGTCCTGGATGTAATACCTGAACAGGGTACAGGGTGGGGTGGGTACCCCCCATAGACTAATCTAATGCTAAAGCTACTAGAATTGTTATATTTGCTAAAACTATACACTATTAAAACTTAACAATTTACAATTAAGTTATTTATTGTTTACTCCTGGGGAAATTCTGTGCCACAGCGTGGGCACAGAATTCATATTGTCTGCAGATTTCTTTGCTTCCCCGCAGACAATATATTTCTGAGGGGAAGCAGAGAAGCCGCAAGAACAGTCACTCACTCCTCCCCAGCAGCTTGGAGCAGCCAGCGAAGACATATATCAACATGTGTATGTGTGTTTGTATGTGTGGGGAGGTGCTGGGAGAGACATCAATTATTATAAATGACAATATAGCAGTATAAATGCTTATGGTGCTTTAGTGATTAGAACTGGTCTAAATTTTTGGACTGAAAAATTTTCCTATCAAAATGTGCTCCATGAACTGTTTACTACTGACTTTTCTGGAGATGGTAGCCAATATAAATTGTGAATTTAATTCCCCAGCCCTCACTTGCTCTTCAGCTGCCTATGATGTAATACTAAGCATATGGCTGCATATATTTGTTGACTAATAACTAGAAATAAAGAGTCAAACCTAACTATTACTATTAGACAAACGGGGTTTGGGGATTTTCTCCAATGCTCCCCACACCCATTCTCCCCATCCATTGTATTGTAATTTAAATAAATTACCAAAATAATTGAAACTGATGTTTTTATATTGTGTTATTTTGACAAATAAACTATGCAGAATTTTAAAATACTGCGTGCAGAATTTTTAATTTTTTGGCGCAGAATTCCCCCAGAAGTAATTATTTATGGGACAAAGTTTAAGCTGCGGACACTAATGGTTCCAACCTGTACCATGCAGCAGTGAGAAGGAACTGGAGAGGTGGTTGGTCCACCCTACCCTTTATTCCCTCAGCTGGAGGCACGAGGTGAACTAGGGTGCATGCATAGACCAATGGACACTACTTTCAAATTCTCTGGCCCCTGGTGCATGCATATCCCACAGTGGAATACAAAAGGGACCATCACTCGAAGCAAAACATACATATGTCAAGAAGGGTAGCATATTCCCTGCTCTTCCTTCCCCTCCCTTCATAGCTACTTAGGCCATAGGTCAGATTGGTGAGCAGAATGAAGGGGAAGAGATGGTTCTCAAGTTCCATCCACAGTCCTGGAATCCCAGGTTGTTTGTGATAAGATTGTGAGCAGTGAAACGACATTTACCAATCTTAAATAATTATAATTAGGCTTCAGATTTAACAGCCTATTGAGATGAATGGAGCAATTTGCACTTCAGAATTATTAGTTCAAATTTTATGGAAACCAATGGAATTACTACAGGAATTAATTTGACCTTTGATTCTCTCTGTATAGAGATTCAGAGAAGACTCTTTGCATTGATTCATATTTTGAAGGTTTTCTTTATGGCCATAAACAAGTTTTGTTCTTTTTTAAATGAAAAAACTTAGTTCTTTAGAAATTGCTGGGGCAACTACAGAACTGCTAATAATACTTATTACCTAGTACCAGTTCAATATGAGCTCTGATTTAATCATTTAGCTTTTTCATCCTTCCTATCAAATTAGGAACCCCTAAAATCTTTTATGCTGTTTTCTGAACTCCCTCTAGTTTGTCAACTTTCTAGTAACACAGTGAACACAGATGAATCAAATAATCATTTGAATCCTTGCCACAGCCATAAAGAGAGCAACTATCACCTCTCTAAAATATTTGGAGTATTTCAGCAATTTCTGAAATATGTAATCCCATCCTATTGTAAATTTAAATTACTGTTAATCCTAGAAATCTTACCTTGAACATTTCTGTTTAACACTGGCTCTTGGTGGATCCTTAATTTTGGGGATTTTTTGTTCAAACTACAAAAAAATGACACCACGTTAATTGAATTTGAGTTCTAAAGCAATCTTCTTAACAATAAACACAAAAATGACATCTGATGTTTCAGAAGTCAACAATGTAATAGCTTGAATTAAAAAAAAAAAAAATGCAGCCACCTGGGCTGCTCAAGCCATATAAAGCTGCAAGCTTTGGTTATATAGAAAGACAACTAGTTCACGGGAAAGGTAATCTGGCAGAGAAGGTCACAACAGAGAAGAAACATTCCTTACAATTATTTCCCAGTGTCTCATATGATGAAACTCCCAATTCTCCTGTGCTGTAGATTTGAAAGCCAGACAAGAGTTACACTTTTGGGAGATATGGGACTCTCCCAAGCAACAGATACACCTAGAATGGTCATCGCTGACAGGAATAGCCTCCCGACAAGAAAGACAGCATTTGAAACCTGGTGAGCCAGGCATGTCGAGCCAGGTCAAATAAGCTCCACAGAAAAAAGGAGGAAAAAGGAGAGGGGGAAAAAAAAAAAAAAAACCACTCTCTCACTACTATCTAACTAATCCTATACTAACAACAGCTAATGCTAACTAGAAACACTAAACTAACTAACTAACTAACAGTATGCCATGTAGCTGTAGCTGTGTCGTTCATGTAGAACATGCTGAGGTGGACATGCTAGAACTCAGTCTCAGCCTGAGGTGGTAGAGAAGAACTCAGACATTTCACCACTGCAGCTCTATACACCATCTGTGTGTGACACGAGGTCGTACCAAGTGCACACATGGACCAAAGAGACACTGCTAATGGGAAATCTCCAATCAAGGGCTCAAGAGGTTCATGCTCGAAGAACTGGATTTACTTCTTCCCCAACAGGCAGAAATCCTGCTCCTACAACGATCAGTCGTTTCAGTACGTCACCAGTCCAAAACAAGCTGGGATACTTAGGTGCAAGGAATCTGAGACAGCACAGATATGTTAAAACTAGTAGAGCCAGACCACCTCATACTTATTATACTATGAAAATTCAATGAAGCTTCCACTAAATTACATTTGTATATCAAGGTCTTATAATAAATATAAGAAGCTTATATTTAAAACATTCCAGTTTACCTGTGGTTTTGTAATAAGGTCAACACAGTAGATTGACTTGCTATCTCACCAAGGGCAAATCACTTTACCTGTGCCTCTTTTTATCCATTTGTAAAATAGGTACCAAAACCACAACCACCACCTCCCTCAAAGGGGGGTGCTAAAAAAGTTAATTGAGCTATGTAAAGTGTTGTAATCCCCTAGTGAAATTATGTAACTGCACTGTCAGTAAGTAACACTGTACAAGTCTCCAGTGGATCTTAATTGCAAGATGAGGATTTGTTTTAAAAAACTGATTCTCATTTCACACTGATGTTTAATTACTTACCACACATTTTACGAGACCAGAAGAACTGAAGATAACAATTTTTGAAATGAGGCCTCTACAATCAGGAGTGAAACATGACTCTTGAAGAAAATCCTGTGGGAGAAGATCAGTTATGTAGAAAAAAAATTCTGTTTTCAATAAAATGGAAAGATGCACTCTCTCTGTGCTTTTGTACAGAAATGCTATTGTGTATACTGAACTTGAGCGGACCAAGGTAATTAAGACCATCACTAAAGGCTTAAGCCTCTACTTGCATTTAGCAGAGGGAAGCCAATCATGGCATAAAATGGCTGGGATCAAAAAGATGGGAGCAGTTGCTCATGGCACATACTCTTTTACTCCCCAAACCAATGGAGAAATCCTCCAATTTTCTGTCCACAGAATTTGTGCTCTATGGATTGAAAAAGGGTACTTCCTGATCTTAACAGCCTCATTTTCCCATCCCAAACCTGCTGGGATTTCCCAACAGAAGATTATACTGATTACCATCGTTATCTTCTGCCAAGTCTCCCTATGCACATTGAAACCCTTTTGGTTTTGGAGTATTAGCTGATGGGGAGGCAATAACAACAAGGTTTCTAAGGGACTCAAGCATCCATAAAGTAAGAGGTAAAGAGAACAGACCATACACATTGAGCCTCTACGTAAATATCCCTGTCCTCCATAGATACCTTGACGCCTGCAGGATTTCCCTATGCCTGCAACACAGACTGTATGTTCCCCATAGGACAGGTGAAAAGTTAAGGCTCCAGGACTGTACTCATCTTAATGACTTTAGCACAGCTACACCCCTAGAAAACAGTTAATAACCAATACTTAAATAGAAGTTTGACATGGGTCTTACCTTGTCATTTTTATCACTGTAAATTGTAGTTTTCAGCTTTTTCCAACAGCTGATGTGAAACTCCACTTTACACTGCTGACAGCAAGTAATCTGTATAAAACCCTAAAATTTGAAGACCATAGGAATTTATGCTTTCAAAGAAAAAAAATGTACCATTCAATAACAGCAAAAAATTAAGAATTTATGCTTCACATAAAGCTTGTATAATGTGCAAGGCACATAACTCCAGCAAAAAGTTTGATCTCCAAAACCCTTAAAAAAAAAAAGTTTACCTTGAAGTCTGGGTCAGTAAAATAGATTTGAATTTTCGAATGTCCATGGCACTGCTGATAAGAACAAACTGCATCTGGCTCTGGAGGAAACTTGCATTCCTCAATGAAATTCTCCAACATCAACTATAAAACATCAAATACAATCACAAATAGAGATATCACATTGTTCCAAAGAATAAATTATTTCTCAGACACAAAAACCAAGTAATGAGATCAAACATCTCTCTATTTGCATTTTTTAAGATTTGGATGTTTTTAGGGCGAAACAGACACCACATTTTCAGAGCCAAAAGAGTTATACTTGAAAATAATTAACTTTATTTTAAAAACATCCTGCCTTTCCTGCTGCAAAATATTTCAAAAGTTCTTCATACTTCTACAGGTGTCAGTGAGGAATGCATAGCCTCTCTGCATACAGTACTCCTAGAGTAATTCTGCACCATTGCGCAAGTGCAGAATTAATGTCCGTCCCCCCGCAGAATAGTTGACTCTGAGGGGGAGGCAAAAGGAAGCCTTGAGCGAGGTCATGCTACAATTACACCTTTTGCTCACTATGGACTGATGTGGTACCAGAAGAGAGAACAGCTGGCTCATGGGCTGGAGCAGCCAACCACGGAGACAGGACAGAGGCTGCCTTCCTCACAATGCCCTGCTCGTAGTGCCAGGTGAGGAGGCCTGGGATATGGGGGGAGGTGGACAGAGCAGGGTACACGGGGCCACTTGGGGGGGCCACACAGACTGGTGTTCAGAAGGGCTAGTGCGGGGGGTAGACTGCAGTAAGGGCACAGGAACTAGTGGGATGACAACATTGAGACAGGGCTGAATGGGAGTAGGGGTGCAAAACCACATGAGAACAGGGGAGGGGAGAGTGCGGGGCCACATGGTAGTAGGAGTTTGGGGCCAAATGGGGACATGTGCAGATATGCCTGGCTGAATGGGAAGTGGGAGTGCAGGGACACACGGGGACAGGGGCAGATGTGCCTAACTGAATGGAAAAGGCTAGAGGTCAGCCAGGGTCTGCATTGAAGCAGCTCCCTAACTCCCTAAAATCTCCCCCTCCCCCCTCCAAAAAAGCCCGTGTTCCATACTTCTCCCGCCCACACCCAACAACTCTCCAGGTTCGCTTCCAAGCTCCTTCCCAGCAATTACTTCCCTCTCCCTCAGCTCCTCTGTTACCCTTTACTCCCCCAAGACTTTGCACTTCTTCTGAGGGGTGCAGGAAATACGTTTCTGTATTGTAGTTTAAATGAATTATTACTCAGAGTTCTGTATTAGTATGCTTAGTAAGGAATCTATTTGTCAAAAAACATTTCCTGAATCTTTTTTGTTACCTGTATTGTTACAGACATACTTGCTGACAGGTATTTTGAAATAATTACCAAAATAATTGAAACTGGCATGATTATATTGTATTGTTTTGACAAAATATGCAGAATTTTAAAATACTGTGCACAGAATTTTTAATTTTTTGGCACAGAATTCCCCCAAGAGTAATACAGGTTGGCCAGACCATCATTTTACATGTTAATAGTTTTATCTCAACTTAAGGATAGTGTTTGTGAATGAAAAAATAGCTTTGTTTCTACTATTTCAATGGGAAAGACAATCTTAAAGCTAACAGTTGAGATTTTCAAGGTTGACCAAGAAACGTAACCACTCTACTCCCAGTAAAATTACTGGGAATCGTGTTGCTAAACCCTTAGCAAATGTTGGCTTTAAAAACTGACAAAATAACTATTACTTAATTTCATGTTTCTCAGTACTTCGATTCTTTATTAATTATGATTTCTTTACTGATAGTGTCCAATGTATTACAGAAATTTTTCTGCACTAAATTTCTAAGTGCTAAGAAACTAACTGATCGACTAACACTTGGACAACACTGGCAGGGTAGTTTCACAATATGCTACCAAAAAAGGTACTAAAACTCAAGGCCCTACCTAGATCCCAAGTTTTAGGAACCAAGTACATTCAGAACGGAGCCCAGCCCATTCAAGCAGTGCTGACTTGGTACTAAGGGAACAGATCCCACCTCTTTACAAATTGGGGCTTGGGTTGAGGATATTTTAATTGGCAAGAAATACAGTCAGGGTGAGGATTCTGAGGATCCTTGCTTCTCCGTTCTTGTGATTTGTGATATCACAAAAAGCCAAGATTCATTAGCTGAGTGAAATTGTATTAAATCAGCATCTTCCCATTCATTTAGAAATTCTCTGATTTATGGGGATGATACTTCTATTTACCTGTAATTTCTCAGTCCGAGTCTCTTCAATGACAATAGATGTTGTGGGCCAAGTTAAAATTCCAGGTACAATTTTACGATTAATCATTGTCTGTGATTTCAAGAACTGATGTATAGCATCTGAAAATCTAAATTTTAAACACATACAAGACAGTGAGGTCACAACTTCTACAACTATTTCATGCAACTGTCTTACATGGAATGGAAAGCTTCGTGCTTGTGAAACTGAAAGCCATCATAAATTAAAGACTGTATGAAGTGCAAGGTAGTGGAGAAAGGGTTAACTATTAAAGACAAGGATATCTGTTACAAATATCTTCATTTATAGAGTAAATCTAAGTTCATTTGTCTCTGCACCAAGCTTAATAAAAATGAAGTTTTACATTATACAAACCTGTTTTGTCTAAGGTATACTTTTCCAATTCCGTAATGTGCCAAGCCATTAAATCTCTCCTTGTGATACTGCTCAATTATTTTGTTAAACTGGTCTTCAGCCTTTGCTAATTCCTTCAAAATAAGTTTAAGATAATCACAAATTAATGAGATAGTTAAGAAACAAAAACAAAAAAGCAAACAGCTTTTGGATAACGGTTCTTAACTGCATAAAAAAAATGCAGCACTGCCTACGTTTCGGTCAACTTTAAGAACGCTGAAGGTGTGTGACTATGCACTCTCTTTTTCTTTATGATTTACATACATAAAAAACAGTTCATTGATCTAGACTGAATCACGCTTGCATGTTCTGGAAATTAAGCTTCCCTCTCACACGGTCCATTCATTTGATTACTTTAGGGAGGCAAGTGTACAATGTTATCATTAGTCTTCTCTCCTGAATAAAATATACATTAAATAACCGAAAATCTCAAGAGACTAGAAGGCTACAAGAACTCTATTTTTAAAAGTACTCCAAAATATTTGGGGGTGGAGGGAACAACTAAACTAGGCAGAACCTTAATCCTTATCCGTTATTGGGCATTCATGGACCAAAAATATTTAAAATGCTACAAAAAAGTGACTTGTAATGGTAGCTGGGTCTACTCAAGTTACTCACTCTTTTTTTTTTTTTTGTATTTAAAAAGAAGAAGAGAAGGGGGGAAAATGATGTGCAGGACTGATTTCCCTTTCATTAGTAGGCTTGGAGTCCCATTTGAAAACTTATAGGTAATTTTCTTACTTAGTACTTTAATTTCTAGAAGTCCAAATACAAGCTTATCTGGACAGTAAACAACATTACTTTCTAACAGTCAAAACCTCCCTTCCTGGAGTTCACCCGGTCATTTCTGTCTGCTCATAAAAGGTGCTGGTAAATCACCTAAATGTCTGAACTCTCATTTTAAGATACAGAAGAATCAATTGTAATAGTTTAAAGTCTTACCTCAGGCTGTCCTATTCCAAGGAGAGCAGTGGCATGTCCATAGATGACTACCACATAGTCAATAACAGCAAGATTCAGCTGCTGCAAATAGTCAAAGAAATCACATTAACAGTATGTGTGAAAAGATTAAGTTAGTAACCAGAACTCTCTGCCTTGAAGTAGACAATGTTCTCCACAGTAGGCACAGGGAAAAACCACAATTCACACAATCACAATCTTCAGGCAATAACAGATCAGTGTTACAATGACAGGATCCTCATTTGACCTTTTGTGATGGCTTAAAAGGGTCCTCCTGTTCTCTTACCATCCTCAAACATAGCATGGTGATGTGTTCTGGAACTGCTGCTTTTGGTAAAATTATACCTTACTCTACTATGTTCACAGAGAAAATACTCAACACAGGGAGAACAAGTTAATATATTTACTATTTTAGCTAGATGGCTATACTACATTTCTTAAAGTTTTCCTAAGTGAATGGATGTTACTAGAAATTCCACAGTTTTTCCCTTATTAATAAGGCGAGACATGATTTCAGGTCAATAGCCATGCTATGTGCCTGGACAGTTAGGCTAGTGTTTCTCTTGTTGCAGAAGAAAGCCTCTGCCTATACAATAGGATCTGGGATATTTCATGTTTGTGAGGTGTCTGCATACATATATACATACACACTATATAATACTTACTCATAGGGGAATTCTGCGCCAAAAAATTAAAGATTCTGCACAGAGTATTTTAAAATTCTGAAAATTTTATTTGTCAAAAAAAGGTTACTCACCTCTCGTAACTGTTGTTCTTCGAGATGTGTTGCTTATATCCATTCCAATTAGGTGTGCGCGTGCCGCGTGCACAGTCATCGGAAAGTTTTTCCCCTAGCAGCACCCGTCGGGTCAGCTGTGGAGCCTCCTGGAGTGGCGCCCTCATGGCGCTCAATATATGACCCTGTTGACCCGGCGCCTCCTCTGTTCCTTCTTGACGGTTACTCTGACAGGGGAAGGCGGGTGGGTTTGGAATGGATAGGAGCAACACATCTCGAAGAACAACAGTTACGAGAGGTGAGTAACCGTTTTTTCTTCGAGTGCTTACTCATATCAATTCCAATTAGGTGACTCCCCACAGCCTTACCTAGGCGGTGGGGTCAGAGTTAAGGAAACGCTGATTGTAGCACCGCTCTGCCGAAAACCGCGTCATCTCTGGCGCGCCGGACGATGGCGTAGTGCGAGGTGAAGGTATGCACAGAGGACCAAGTTGCTGCCCTGCAGGTTTCTTGGATCAGGACCTGGGCCAAGAACGCTGCTGATGAGGCCTTGGCCCTCGTGGAGTGCACCGTAAGAGCCGGGGCCAGTACTTTGGCCAACTCATAGCATGTGAGGATGCATGACGTGATCCAGGAGGATATTCTTTGAGATGAGACCAGGAGCCCTTTCATCCGGTCTGCCACCGCTATGAACAATTGGTTCGATTTTCTGAACGGCTTAGTGCGCTCAATGTAGAAAGCTAGTGCTCGCCGAACATCGAGGGAGTGCAGCCTCTGCTCTCGGTTACTGGCATGCAGCTTAGGGTAAAAAACAGGCAGGAAAATGTCCTGACTGGCGTGGAAGTGCAACACCATCTTGGGGAGAAAGGCTGGGTGCGGCCCGAGTTGCACCTTATCCTCGTGGAAAACCGAGTACGGTGGGTCAGAGGTGAGGGCCTTTAGCACAGACACCCTCCTAGCAGAAGTAATGGTGACCAGGAAAGCCACTTTCCACGACAGATACAGTAGGGAGCAAGTTGCCAGTGGTTCAAATGGGGGCCCCATGAGCCTGGAGAGGACCAGGTTAAGGTCCCATGCAGGGACAGGATGCCTGATCTGGGGATGTAGGCGGTCCAGACCTTTGAGGAAGCAACCAACTATAGGGATCGACCAGATGCTCCTGGGTGGAAGGCCAAGATAGTAGCGAATTGTACCCTTATGGAGGACGCCGCCAGGCCTTGCTGTTGCAGGTGTAGGAGGTACTCCAAGATGAGGGGTACAGGCATCTGGAGGAGGGGTGTTTGATGCTGGTCACACCAGCATGAGAATCTCTTTCACTTTGCCAGATACGTGGCTCTAGTGGAGGGTTCCCTGCTGCTGAGGAGGACCTCCCTTACTTGTTCTGAGCACAGAAGTTCCATGGAGTTCAGCCATGAAGCTTCCAAGCCGTGAGGTGAAGGGACTGCAGGTCGGGGTGATGGAGGCAACCGTAGTCCTGAGTAAGTTGGGGAGGCGAGGTAACGTGACCGGTGCATCCACTGACAGCTCCAGTAGCATGTTGTACCAGCGGTGTCGAGGCCACGCTGAAACTATCAGAATTACCTTTGCTCCCTCCCTGCGGACGTTGAGCATGAGAGGGAATGGAGGAAAAAGGCATGGCGCCGGCGATCTCTCCAGAGTAGCAGGAACGCATCCGTGAGTGAGCCTTGGCTGTGACCTTGGAAAGAGCAGAACATTGGACACTTCCTGTTGCGTCGGTTGGCAAACAGGTCGACCTCGGGAAACCCCCACCTTTGAAAAATGAGGTGTATGACATCCGGCTGGATGGATCACTCATGTGTGCGGAAGGACCTGCAGAGGTGGTCCGCCAGCATGTTCTGAACTCCAGGTATAAAGGATGCTTCCAGTGAATGGAGTAGGCTATGCAGAACTCCCACAGCCGGAGGGCCTCCTGGCATAGGGGAGGGGAACGGACTCCACCCTGCTTGTTGATGTAAAACATGGCGGTGGTGTTGTCAGTTAGAACTGCTACGCACTGGCCTTGTAGTTGGGCCTGAAAGGCCTGGCAGTCTAGGCGCACTGCCCTTAGGTCTTTGATGTTGATATGTAGGGAGAGCTCATCCTGCGACCACAGGCCCTGTGTCGGAGGTCTCCCACATGCACCCTCATCCCAGATCCAACGCATCCATGACCAGGGACAAGGAAGGTTGAGGGTTGTGGAAGGGGACTCCTTTGCACATTGCTCGAGGGTTGAGCCACCAGTGGAGGGACATGAGGACCTGTCCTGGCACCGTGACCACTGAATTCAAGCTGTTGCGCCCTGGGGGGTAGGCCAAGGCAAGCCATGCCTGCAAAAGTCTGAGTCGCAGCCTGGCGTGCGAGGTCACAAGTGAAAGCAGCCATGTGGCCGAGGAGACTCAGGCACTCCCTTGCTGTTGTGGTTGGGAATTGCTGGAGGCTTTGAATTATGTCCGTGATGGCTCAGAATCAGGTCTCTGGCAGAAGAGCTTGCACCTGAATCGAGTCTAACACTTCCCCAATGAATTCTATTCTTTGAGTCGGTTCCAAGGTCTACTTCCCCAAGTTGAGGAAGAGACCCAGTAGCTCAAACAGATTTGGGACTGCACCTGCCCCCTGGTGCGGCCCCTGAGCAACCAGTCGAAGTAGAGGTATACTTGCACCTGCTGTCGACGCAGGAAAGCAGTCACCACCGACATGCACTTGGTAAACACTCAGGGGGCTGCTGAGAGGCCGAATGGTAGGACAGTGAATTGGTAATGCTTGTGGTTGACCATGAAGCGTAGGAAGCACCAGTGTGCAAGACGAATTGCTATATGGAAGTATGCATCCTTCATGTCGAGGGCGGCGTACCAGTCTCTCAGATCCAAAGAGGGGATAATGGTGCCCAGGGAGACCATGTGGAACTTCAACTTTGCCATGAATTTGTTGTGTCTGAGCAGATCTAGAATGGGTCTGAGACCCCCCGGGCCTTGGGGATTAGGAAGTATTGGGAATAGAATCTCTTGCTCCTTAGCTCCTGAGGAATCTCCTCCACCGCTCCCATGGTGAGGCGCGCCTGCACCTCCTGGATAAGGAGTTGCTCGTGAAAAGGGTCCCTAAAGAGGGACGGGGAAGGGGGGTGGGAGGGAGGGTAGGAGCAGAACTGGAGAATATCCCACTTCCACCGTATGGAGGACCCAGGGGTCCGAAGTTATTTGGGACCAAGCATGGCAGAAGTGGGACAGACGATTCAAAAAAGATGGGATGGATCCGTAATCAAGGCCGGTGCACCGTCCGTGGGCGCCCCTTCAAAAGGCTTGCTTGGAACTAGACGATGGATTAGTTGGGCCCTGTCCCAGCCCAGAAGGGGGGTTGGAAGGCTTCCTTCTGCCGTTCCTGCCCCTTCTCCTGTAGAAGTCCTGCCTTGGCCAAGGAGGGTAGGAGTGCTGCTACTGTTGTTGGGGCTTGAAATGTTTGTGTTGGGTTGCCAGGGTGTGCATACCCAAGGATTTCATAGTAGCCCTTGAGTCTTTTAGGCTATGTAGCTGAGAGTCAGTCTGCTCCGCGAACAGGCCCACCCCATCAAAAGGCAAGTCCTGCATTATCTGTTGAACCTCGGGCGGAAGGCCCGAGGCCTGCAACCATGAGCTACACGTCATGGCAATACCGGAGGACAAGGTGCATGCCACCGAGTCCGCAGCGTCCAGTGCGGCCTGTAAAGAGGTCCATGCCACCGCCTTGCCCTACTCCACTAAGGCTCCAAACTCCTCCCTGGACTCTGACAGAACCAGTTCCTTGAATTTGAGAATCGAGTTCCAGGAGTTGAAGCTATACCGGCTCAGAATTGCCTGCTGATTGGCAATCCTGAGTTGCAGTCCCCCCCGTCGAGTACACTTTACGCCCAAACAAGTCCAGGCGCTTGGCATCCTTGGACTTAGGTGCTGAGGCTTGCTGCCCCTGCCTCTCCTTCTCGTTCACTGCTGCAACCACCAATAAACAAGGCTGCGGGTGTGTGAAGAGGTATTCGTACCCCTTCGACGGGACGAAGTATTTCCTCTCAATGCCCTTGGCGGTGGGAGGGATGGAGGCCGGGGTCTGCCAGATGGTCTTGGCATTGGCCTGTATGGTCTTAATGAGGGACAGACACACCCTCGAAGGACCTTTCGGGGCCAAGACGTCGACCACCGGGTCCTCAGACTCCACCACCTCCTTGGCCTGCAGACCCATGTTGCATGCCACCCTGTGAAGGAGGTCCTGGTGGGCGCGGCTGTCTATGGGAGGCGGTCCAGAGACAGACGCTCGGGAGCCTTTAGACTGGGTGCCTTGCGCTTGGTGGTATGCCCACAGGGTCCAAAATGGCCACTGCGTTGGTTCCTGCCACTGCGCAGACCACAGCCCTGCCCTCATCTCAGAGCGTCCATGACCCGACCAGTGCCAACCCCGCTCTCAGTATCTAGATCCCGCCTCTGAGTCCGAAGACCAGGATGGCAATGGCCAGGGCGGTGCCGAGCGGAGCTGATCCTGCGAGCACTACCACGCCGGAGAGCAATGTCGCTACGCCGGAGAGCAGTGCTGCTACACCGGAGAGCAGTCCCGCCACCTGGAGCTGCACGGGGTCGCTGAGCGGCACCGGGACCTGCCGTGCGACGGGGATCGATGCGTGGATCGGCATTGCGAGTGGGAGCACTGGCGTAACCTGGAGTGGGGCTGCAAGTATGACCGGTGCCACAATTGCAAGTGACACCGGGACTATCAGCGGCGCCGAAGGACGGCGCATCGCTGGTTTGCCTCGAGACGGTGCCATGCAATGCGGTACCGGAGGCTTGGCGCGAAGGGTGGGTGACCTTGGTGCTGTCATGGCAATGAGGTCCCTCGCAGCCTCAAAGGTGTCCAAGATGGATGGCAGTTCCACCTCCTTGATGACCTGGGCCGGGGAGTCCAACAGCACCAGACTCAACGGTCCTCCTTGCAGGGCCGAAGTCGATGGTGCCATCTTTGCAGGCTTCGGTGCTGGGTGCTCCTCTTGAGGACACATCCCATTGGCCTGCTCCAGACGGGTGGACCTCTGAGATGGAGAAATGCTCCTTTCTTGCTTCCGGTGCCACTTCTGCACCAGGGAGTTGGAGCAGTGCTGGGTCAATCCCGCCATTTTCAGCACCGGGGAGCATCGGTGCCACGGGTCTCTGCCAGAGTCCTTCCGCGGTGCCGCTTCCACCAGTGTCGCCAGGGCGCTACACACCAATGAATTTTAAAAAAAATTTTTTTTTTTTTTTTTTTAAATGGTGAGACATATACCTATCTATCTCATAGAGCTGGAAGGGACCCTAAAAGGTAATCGAGTCTAGGACCAAGTACTGATTTTGCCCCAGATCCCTAAGTGGCCCCCTCAAGGATTGAACTCACAACCCTGAGTTTAGCAGGCCAATGCTCAAACCACTGAGCTATCCCTCCCCCTCAGCGCCGGGTCTTGCCATGCCGGTGGAAGTTGTGGTCTAAGTGGCGCCTCCATAAGGAGCTGCTTGAGGCGAAAGTCTCGCTCCTTTTTGGTTCTGGGTTGAAACCCCTTACAAATCCTACACCAATCAGCTTGCTGAGCCTCCCCAGACGCTTTAGACAAGCGTTGTGGGGTCGCCCGTTGGTATGGGTTTGCTGCAGGACTTGCAGGGCTTGACCCCCTCAGACTTGGGCATGTAAGCCCTCCCAAGGAAAAGCGGTCGGGATAGAGGGTAAACTCCCCCAGCCCAATTGCTAGCTACAAACAACTAAAACTAACTAAAAAGTACAGAGAACACAAACAAAGCTAGGGAAACGTGGTAGAACTTGCTGAGCAAGACGCCACAGTTCCAACGACCGTCGCTGGAGGTAAGAAGGAACTGAGGCAGCACCGGGTTGGCAGGGTCATATATTGAGCGCCATGAGGGCGCCACTCCAGGAGGCTCCACAGCCGACCCGACAGGTGCTGCTAGGGGAAAAACTTTCCGATGACTGTACACTCGGCGCGTGCACACCTAATTGGAATCGATATGAGCAAGCACTCGAAGAATAACACTACATAATCATGCCAGTTTCAATTATTTTGGTAATATATTTCAAAATACCTGTCAGTAACTATGTCTGTAACAATACAGACAACAACAACAACAAAAAGATTCCCCCAGAAGTAGAGAGTTAAAGAAACCCCTACAACAACCCAGTTCCTGTTTCTCTGCACCCTCCTGCCCAGAGCACAGCCGTGGGGTCAGACACCCGCACCCCTTCCTCCCAGAGCCCAGCCACACGCCTCCACCCCCACGCCCCCAGCCCAGACATCCGCACCCCCTCCCACCCAGCTGCGGGGTGCCACTCAGCCCTGACACCCGCACCCCTCCCCCCCAACAGCCCAGCTGCGGGGTGTCCCCTTCCCCCCCCCCAATGACCCACATCCCTTCCCCAGAGAGCCGCACCCACTCCTCCCCAGGACCGAGCTGCAGGGTGACCCCAAGCCCAGACACTCATACTCCTTCCCACTCAAAGCCCAGGGATCCAGAGGGAGAAACAGCCTGATGCTGGAGCCAGGATTTGTATTGAGTTGCCTGCATGCCACCTCCTTCCTTCATGGCGTGCCATGAACTGCAGCTACCACAAGCCATCCAGCTCCCTTTCCTACTCAAGCAGTGACTTCTATTTGCAAGTTGGGCTTTCCTGGATCCAGTGGCCCCTAGTGGCAGCCAGCAGCTCTGCAGCAGCAATTCTGCAGGGGAAAAAGGGAAATTCTGCGCAGAACATTAATTCTGAGCAAATTCTGCATTGCACAGTGGCGCATAATTCTCCCAGGAGCAGATACTGAAAACTACATTAAAAATTGTATGAATGTATGACAATGAAAATATGTAAGAAGGTTATTGGGGATGGATTAGATATTTAAAAAAAAAAAAAAAAAATCACGGTATTTGCCACAAAGAGTTTACAATCTAAAGAGAGAATAAAGTGTAAAAAAAATAGATACAAGTGAAGTGGCTAATATGGTTATGGATCACATCTTAAAATGTTTAGGATATGCAATTTTGTGTATATGCACACAGATAAAAATCTGTATTCCTAAAACATTTTAATGTCAAGATGTTGTCCATGATCACCATAACTACTTTATATGTTGTATCTTTTTCCTTATTCTCTGTCTTTTAAAATTATAAGCTATTTGAGACAGATTGTGCTTTTTTTTACATTTGTACAATGCCTAGCACATAGTGGAATGTGACTGGAAACAATAAAATAAAATAAAATAAAATGATTGCTTTGGGGGAGGAAAAGCAGTGAAATATAAAACTTACAGGTCAAGGCTCAATCACCCCTAGTAAGTAGGCCAGGGCACCCGCCTCCTTACCTTTAACTCTGAAGGATCCAAAATATTCAATAAGTGTGAAAAGAATTGTTCAGCACTGCGATAACGTTGGTCCGTCAAGGCTGTATAGCCATCATGAACAAGCGACTTCAACATTTCTGGCAACACAGTTAAATCCACCTACAAAATTCAATCTTAACTAAATCAAATTTTGTTGACTATGTTATGAAACAAGCTACTAATTATTAAAAACGCTATCCAAGTCATGATTAAATAATATCAGAGTTCAATCTTTTCTGCATTTTGGTTACAAGAGTTCCACCTTTCTGAATTTAGTTCAGTGGCAACATTCACTTTGACCTAACTTGTGGGTATTCAAAGTTTGCACAGAAGCAACTTTGGTAAACTTTAAAAATATTGTTTCAGACCCATCCCCCCCAACAACTTCACTGGCTTCCCATTCATTTAAAAATTGTCATCCATGTATGTCAATGGTCTATTGTTCCAACGTACTTCACAGACCTAGGCCTTGTCTACACTACAAAGTTTTGTTGGCAAAAGTTATGCCGCTTTAATTAAAACCGCTGTTGCATGTCCACACTAGCTCCTTGTGTCGGCAGAGTGCATCCACACTAGCAGCTTTTGCATCAACACAGAGCAGTGCACTGTGGTAGCTATCCCACTGTGCAACTGGCCGCAGGGTGCTTTGGGAAGGGTGTTGCAATACCTCATGGGTCAGGTACAGCATCACATGAGGCAGGTTTCTCAGTCCCATCATTCCAGGGGCATCCTAATAGATTGTCAGTTGAAGTGTGTGCGGGGAGGGAAAGGAGAGTGGTGTGGCTGGGGTAGGTGAGACAGCAGGCTGACCACCTATCCTGAGGCGGGGGAGCGGGACACATACCCCAGGTCAGCCCCCGTCTCTGCTTGGCAGTCGGCACAGCAGTCTCCCCTAATGCAGACCGCTCTGCCTGCCTGCCTATGGTTCTATGATTCTCTCCAAGTTCTCCCACAGCCTCCTCAGCTGCCGGAAGCAGCATCCTGAGCAGCTCTGTGAGCTCTCCGTGCTGAAGAATGTCAAAGCAGCTCAGCAGTCATCCATCGTCCCCCCTGCTCCCCACAGCAGCAGTCTGCCTGCCGCTGTGCTCCCAGTGCAGGGCAGAACAGGAGCATTCCACGCTAATGATTTGCTCTTTGTTCCCCAAACTGAGCAGCAGGCTGAGCTGTCAGATACTTCCCAGAGCTTTGAAAGGGAAGAGGCGCATACCTGCAGGGCAGCAGAGATCAAAACAGTGAGCAGAGCGGTCATGCAGGCATTGTGGGATACTGGTGGAAGTCAGTTATGTTGACAAAACAAACAGCAGTGTCTACACTGACCCTTTGTTGCTTTAACTTTGCCACAAAAAGCTTTATGCCTCTCATTGAGGTGGTTTTATTTTGTCTGCAAAACAGCAGGGATTCGCCACCAAAAGTAGCTTTGTAATGTGGACAGCTCCCGTGTTTTGTCAGCAAAAGGCAGCTTTTACCAACAAAACTTTGTAGTGTAGACAAGACCTTAGTCTCTCTAAATCTCAACTCCTCGGTCCCGTTACATGATTTCATCACCATGGTTCAAGAGTCTGCTCCTCAACACTTTTACCATCTAAAAGCAGACTTCCTATATTTTTTCACCTTACACCCACCCATTTCTCTAAAACAATAAGCAATTTGAAAACATTTTTTTTCTCCCTGGTCTATATACTTTCACTTTTGGTCTTCTTTTATATTTAATGCTGAAATATCTTGGGTATTGTATTAGCTTGTTACTCCTCTACAGTTGCTGTACACATGAGATAAACACAGAAGTCATTAGTTCATGAAGTGGTCTAATATCTTAGGCTCTGATACTATGCTGTGGACCACAATGGACTGCTGTGCAGAAGTCCTCCAAGCACAAATAGTTGCAGGATTGGGGCCTTAGTATTTTGAACAAGTAATTAAGGAAAAACAAAGCTGAATTTAATGTCATGAAGTAGCTACTATGCATAGGTATCAATTACTTGTTAAAGAAGACTGCATAAGGATTTTTACAACGCACAAACAAGGGAGTACATGTACGTATATGCACACAGACCATAATACCTCATTGTTCCTATGTCAGGCAGACCTGTTTTATAAGCTTTCATTCCTCATTTTCTTTTAAGATATGAAATAATTTAAATGTAAAAAATTATGAATAAAGCTCATCATTGTCTCTCCAGGCAATGGAAGATAGGTTTGGGGGTTGGAAAGGAATTATAAAAGTGGGAAAATATTGGACGGAGGAGGATGACTTGAGATCCTAAGCTGCCCAATTTCCTGATAGTGTGTTATACTGAATTATACTGCTGTATTTTAATTACACTTCAGTATTATTTTGGTGTATTTTTAAGCTTTGTCAAGGGTGTTAGAGGGTATCAATAGGTCCCCCTTTTCCTATTTACATAAATCCAAATTAATACATTAAAAACAAACTGAATACTAAAGAAATTCATTATTGCACATACTGTAATGATCTCCTAAATCATGCCTAAAATTACAGTTTTCAGTATGTAAAATTGTTTTATTTTCAGATTCTTTAAAGTAGAAATTAAAAAGTTATGACTGTAATGTTTGAAGTAATTTTCTAAATATTAATGTTTCACCCAAACATTAAACATTTTAATGAAGTGAAAACGAAAGCCAAATCTAACTAGTCCTGTTGGTACCACTGAAGTGAGATTTCAAAGTAATGATCTGGTCAAATCCATGTTAACATCTTCTCATTCTGTGCTGAGAATAGCCTGTGTCAAACACTGGGGCCTTACAGAACATTTTAAATTTCAAAAGTTTTATCTTGATGAATTTTAGATTAACTTTCATCCATCAAAATTCAGATTTTGGAAGTCAAGCTGCAAAAACCATAGCTGAATTCCAAAACAAAATGGTTACTAAAATTGCTGTATTTGCAAAAAAAATAAGAACATTCATCTACTCTTCGGGCAGAATGGAGAGAATGCTGATGGTGAAATTTGCCATAAGTCTGAAATTGTATTTATTTTCCTGATCTTTGAGTGACTGGTTGTCAATTTATGTTATTTTTATTATTATTATGTGATTCTTGTATTGAATTTTCTGTAAATTGGTGACATAAATGTCTTTCTTAGGACTCATGGCCCAAAGACAAGCATGCCACCAACTTAAAGTAGTTTTGTGTCTCTTGAGTTTTGATATTTTTGGAGGATCATTGGACAGCCTCTATGATGAATAAAATATGTAATATTTTTAAAGATGTTCACCTAAGAGGTACTTTTCCAAAGCCGATGCCTACTTAATTGTAAACTTTCATTAAAATGTCCTAATCTGCACTTGATTAGCAACACAATAAATTAACACTGCAGCAGAATGTAGGGGCTGATGGGGTTTTATTTGGTCCTATTGTACCACAGAGTAGACATAGCCCTGTTCAGAAGTTTGTGCTTGTCTGATAGATCTGTACTTAACCCCTAGGCTGTCTCAACATTTTAATTAAATGCCATTATTTTATTTTTTAATACTTAAGTAATGTCATTGCCAAGATAACATGATTTATTCAGACAGAGACATGAAAAGTTTTTTTCCAACTAAGATGCTAATGTTTTCAGTTGTTTCCTTCATTTACCTTTCGGATAGCACTACAGAGTTTATCCTGGATGTTTTTAGAATCGATCTTCAAACTCAGATGATCTCTACAATTAAAGACAGTATTAGCATCACTGCAATTTTTAACTTGAAATTTGTACATATACATTTTATATACTCCATTCTTCAGAGGGTGAAGAAATTCCTTTGCTTATGTAGCCATATGGGGTACGCCTGCACAGCAACTGGGAGGGTGCTTCCCAGAGCAAGTAGACAGATATGCACAAGCTCTGTTCAAGCTAACACAAAAAATAACAGTGTGACTGCAGCATCAAGGACGGGGCATCAGGCTAGCCACCTGAGCCACTCTGCTATTTTTAGTGCACTAGCTCCAGCTTAGCTAACATGGGTCTCTCTACCAGTGCTGAGAAGCATACTCCCAGCTTCTAAAGACATTTGATTATACATTCATCTCTGCCCCATGTTCAAGGGCAGCAAGCACCCAGCACATGAGAAGTGTCCTAAAGATTGTGTGCTAAGAAACTGGAGATTTCTAGGAAGGGATCTGTCTGTTGTATACAGTAGAGCAAGTGTGAGGGGACCTTGAAAATGATATGATAATTTAGCCACACCATTTAGCCACTCTGCTGGTGTAGCTAAATTTTAATTCACTAATTAGTATGAGATCCATGGCATCCTAGACTGCACAATAAACACGTTCATTGTTATGGCTAGGCTCTATAAACTTTTCACAGCAACAGCCACAAAGATATAAAAGTAGACTGTGATTAAGTAATGGCATCAACACATTTTATTAACAAGAATTTTCTAATTTTGCATTTATTTATAAAATTGCAAATGGCCTCTGAACAATACAAAAACTTCAAACAGTGCAGCCTCTCCATGACAGATGTAGTAATTAAAGAAATTTAGTCAACTGACTGGACCTGTAAACTTAATCCAAGTGTAGTTCAGCTCTGAAAAGTGACTTCAAAATGCCCTGGTAGGGTTTCATACTTTGGTGTCTCACTAACTCCATATCAAATTTGTTTCTGGCTGTGAGAATGACAGATTATGTATTCAGCCACCAGTAGCTTGCCAATCATTTTACCATCTAAAAAACTGATAAATTATAACTATTGTGATAAAGAATGTTACAGCTGAAAAGCAAACCAAAAAAATTCTGCTGTGCCTAGACACAGTTCTCTATCAAAGGATCTTTGAATACCTATCTTTGATCACAAGTCTAATTATCTGAGAGGTAAAAACACCAAACTGACAGCCTTAATACAAACTTAAAATGTTATGGCCCATGTACCATTCTTAGAAGTTTTAATAATTATTTTATGACTTTTATGATAATTATTTTTCAAGGTAAGATCTACTGTAATAACTACAGGCTCATCTTAATTTCAGTAATGCATTTACTATAATCAAGAAACCCTTCAGCAGAAGTAAACAGCTGTGCAGTACAAGATGGTTATACAAGCAGTGATTTGGATTTGTTTGTATTCCCCTTCTCCCACGTGCACACTATTTTTTGACATTTGTTTATAGACATTTCTCTGGTGATTGTAACACTAGCATCTCAATACCTTTGAACCAATACAAATGTGTTAAAATTAGCAATTCTGCTATTACTTTTCTTTTTTGCCAATCTGTTTTTTACAGTAACTTCTATGCCTTGTGAATAGGGTTGTCATGTGTCCAGTTTTCGACCGGAACACCCACTCGAAAAGGGACCCTGGCTGCCGTTAAAAGTCCGGTCAGCAGCACAGCAGGGCTAAGGCAGGATCCCTACCCGGCTCTGCGTGGCTGCTGGCCAATGGGAGCTGCGGGGGTGGTGCCTGAGGGTAGAGGGAGTGCGCACTGCACAGAGCCGCCTGGCTACGCCTCGGAGCAGAGAGACATGTCGCCGCTTCCGGGGAGCTGCCAAAAGCAAGCGCCACCAAGAACCTGCATCCCTCACTCCCTCCTGCGCCCCAACCCCCTACCCCAGCTCTGAGCCCCTTCTTGGAGCCTGCACCCTGCATCCCCTCCTACACTCCAACCCCCTGTTCCAGCCCTGAGCTCCCTCCCGCACCCAAACTCCCTCCCGGAGCCCATATCCCAACTTCCTGTTCCAACTCAGAGCCCCCTCCCACCCTGGAGCCCACCCCAGCCCAGAGCCCTCACCCCCCTGCACCCCAAACCCCTGCCCCAGCCTAGAGCCTCCTCCCACATCCTGAACCCCTCATTTCTGGCCCCAGCCTGGAGCCCACACCCCCAGCCGGAGCCCTCACCCCAACCCCAACCCCCTGCTCTAACCCAGTGAAAATGAGTGAGGGTGGGTGAGAGTGAGCAACAGAGGGAGGAAGGATGGAGTGAGTGGGGGGCAGGGCCTCATGGCAGAGCCTCAGGGAAGGGGGCGGGGCAAGGGTGTTTAATTTTGTGCAATTAGAAAGTTGGCAACCCTATTTGTGAGGTTGCAAACTTATTTAGAGCATTCACTTACTTACAAATGTTAATGAATAATTGTTGGAACATGATTTTAGATACTTATTATAAGACTACTACAGAAAAACCACTGAAGGAGAAAAGTTGAGCAAATTTAGCAGTGAGAACATTTACATAATATTTATATGGTCCTGTTTTTCTGGGTTCCTTTTGTCATTGAAAATCTAATTTTTAATCATGGCTCTTCTTTCTACAGCTTAGTTTCTTCTTCTTGGAGCTTCAAGGAAATCATAAACTTGTGCTTATGACAACCATCTACTGCTACTGAAACAACTGTGATGTCAAATTCACTATTTACAGACTTCTACACAGAATCAAAACAAGGTGAGAACCACCATTGCTGGTCAACCACTTTTAAAAAAAAATATGAACAGCTTATTTATTAGCAAGGAGTGCACACAATGTTGAAGTCTCCAACATGTCAATGAGAGTTTTTTATCCAATATATCTGAATGCCTACCCTCATGTAAAAATTTGTCCTTTCAAGAATATATAAAAATAGGAACAGTGAAAGTTTCATTAATGTTCTTCCGAAGATTTTCACCATGTAAAGTTATTAAAATGATAAAATATCTACTTCTTACCTCGTCTTTTCAGAATCACTGGTTTTGTTCTTTAGTTTTCCTTTATTTTGGTGATTCTCTCCTGTTACATAAAAATATCATTTTGAACCAACTGAATAAAACATTCATTTAAAAGGACACCAACTCGAAAATCACATTTTGTCTGAAATTTTTTTACCTCCAACAGTTACAAATATCTCAGATTAATGTAACTGAAAGAAGTTAATAAAAATATCACTTCTTTCTTTATCCAATTTGTTTACTTTGGAAATTTAACACCACTTCGTGTACAATTTCTCCCTTGCTAGAAGTCCCTTATAATTAAGAAGAAAACCCCTTACAATTGTTTAAAGAAACTTTTTTTTAAACAATCACATATTATAAAGAGGTTATATCAGCAACAAGCTAAAAATTATTTCATTTTGAAAAATTCCAGTTGACATTGTCTAATTTTTGAAGGATTAAAATATCAATATGAGCCTTATTGTAACATATTATGATTTCAATTTGCTGTATTTAGCCACAATACTTAAAGAATACCTTGCTGAACAGACTCATACAGTTCTTTTTGGCTTTACATTGAGAGGGAAAAGAAATTGAGAGAATAAACACTCGAGTATACCCAATCTAAATAAATCATTTTCTCTACCTATGCCAGTCCATGCTGTAATGTTCTACGGGTGAGGAGAATTCATGACAAAGTTTCTTCCTCTCTATTACATCGTATCAGGCAACTGTAAAAGAGATCTATTTTTTTTTTGGCTTTAGGACTGCAGATCTTTGACTCAGACCAATATTAAGCTCTGGGGCTGTAAAATGTGCAAATGCTTGAAAGATTCAGAGGCTCAATAGCCACAGAAAATTTATTGTTGAACACATGATCGTTGAGCCCGTGTCTTAGAAACCCAGTAATCTGTGAGGTGATACCATTGTCTCCAGTGCAGGTAAGTGATTGAAGTAAACTCCAGTAATTAATTCTAGTACTTCACATATCTTAATATTGTGATGATTACTCAATGGGTTGGTTCCTGTGATAATTTAAAGCTATAACTTTAAAATAATTGTAAAATGGATAATGAATATATTATATATTAGTGGCATTTTTATATTAATTTAGTACAAATGCTATAGGTAAAAGCACAACATAATGAAAATGCAACAAAATGAAGAAAAACTTTTAGAAGTATTTTGATTTCTATTCTGGTCTGCTGAAAATAAGAAGTGAAATCACTGACTCGAAAACGATTTTTGCTCACTTTCTTGCCTGGAGATGAAGGAAATGAAATGTAAGATTGGATGTTTGAATGTGTGTTTATAATTAAGTCAAAATTCAATGTTTATCATATTTTTATTTTTGTTTTGAATGTTTAGTAGGTTTTAAATGAAAACTTTATGAGACAGTCAATTATTTTGCTGCTCAACCTTTCACCAGTCCATGATCAGAAGTTCTGATTATCTGTGTAAGCGAAATGATGTTTTGGGACTCCTAAATAGACAATTAATAGTTGACAATGTTCAGTTATAGATCTGGTGAGTGCTGGATTTTGCCAGGGTTCTTCATGACATGCTAAGTTATGAAAATCAGGGTTTTCTCCCCCCCCTCCAAAAAAATATGCTAAATCGATCACAACTGGATAAAAGGCTTAGCAAATGCGAGGATATACTTTATTCTGACTCACTGAAGTACTGCAGGAGGATTTTTTTAAATCACCGATTTAAATTAGGCTGAGGCGCTGTAAAACTAATTTGAAAATATGTGCTACTGCAACTTTAGATGAAAATGTATAATGAATATATTATACATTAGTGGCATCTTTTATATGAATTTACTAAAAGTGCTATAGGTAAAAAAACAACATGTGAAAATTAAGACTGTGATTCTGCAAATTCTTAAATAGGTACACCACTGTATACTTAAAAGTTAAACATATGCATAAGTGTTTGTAGCATCAGGGACTAATATTTTTATTATCAACTTCTTAGTGGTATAAAATCTTTGTCACTTCAAAACAAAAATTACCTCAGTGTTAACAATGAAAAGTTACTTAGACTTTCAATATATTAATAAAATAATTATGAACTTTAGAATAAACAAACCAAAACCTTTTAAAAAATAGGAGCCTAAAGTTAAGATGTCTGTGGGAGCTCTGCACTGTGCAGGTTCAAATATTTACTGAAGGTGACACTTACAAATAATAATGCACAATAGATTCCTCATACTTGTAACCTGTGGGAAACTAGCAAGTGAAAGCCTGTCGGAAACACAGTGTTTTATTTCAGAGTAGCAGCCGTGTTAGTGTTTTATGTATATCCTCATTTTAGCATTTAAATGTACAGATTAAATTCTCTTTTCATTATTACACTGGAGTGTTCTTTTAAGGAACTGATATTGCATGCAAACAAACATTAAAAAACATAACCAAAACCCCATTAAAACAGTTTTTGTACCTTTGTCCTGCTAATTGCCTAATTAGTTTATGACCCATCTTCTTCTAACGTTTAAAGAGCATATATAGAAAAGAACACCACAATATTAAGTGCAACACAAACTTAAGTCCAAAAAAGAAAAAAAACATTCCAATTGATATGATTCTATTTTATCTTCAATGCATTTCATATTTAAAATATAAAAGACAACAATTAAAAGGAAAACGACTTGCTCCATTGTGTAATATAAGCCTCCTCTTCCACTGATCATCCAGATCAAGCACTGCTTATCTGAGAGCATTAATACTTACTTATAATCTCAATTTGCTCTTAAAATACAAAACTACAAAAAAACCTCTGCTGAAGTTTATTTAACATACCCATAGGAGAACATATTCAAATGTAAATGAAAAGCACTTACCCCTGAAACACTTTAAAGCTTTACCAGAAGTAACACTAACTCTGACAGGGAGTGCCATTAGGAATGAACAAAAATATACTACAGAAAGACAAACACACTCAAAAAAATACATGTAAACAACACTGAAAGGAAAAGAAGCCAAATGCAAATTAAAAAGAAACGGAGGCACCAGGGTCCTATATAAAATCTCCCACAAGCCACAGCCCTTCACTGAACAAAGAACCCGGAAAAGAATACTCCCTCCCTCCACCCACCTAAAATCTGTAACTAGACATGCACAGCATAACTCCTCCTGCCAAACCAAGGCCAAGCTAAATATTTCCTCCAAAATCAGTATGAACACAAAGAATATCTTGTACTATAGACACTTACAAGGAAAACAAAAACAAACAAAAAAACCCCCTAAAAACTCTAAAGAGAACAGAATGAAAAGCTAGGCACATTTTCTAAGAAATTCATATTAAGGAACAGCAATTCACAGCCCTATTATCTGCTTAGCCTTAGTGTGTTCTCTCCCCTAAACACTCAATCCTTCACTAGCCCCCATTATTTCTTCTGCACCATCTCTAAAATGGATTAACCTTTTCTCTCAACAGCACCCAGGTTCATGCCTTGGGCCTCTCTTGCCTCAGCTATTACAAAAGCCTCCTTAGCCTTCTTGATACTCAGATTTTGCCCCTCCAGACTATCCAAATACAGCTGTCAATATTATTTTCCTCCTGACCATGATTTTCTCCCTTCATAGATCTCTTTACTACCTTATAGGATCTTTCGGCATTAAGTCCTTGCAATACTGCACAATTCTATGCCAGCTAACATCTCTTCCCTATAATTCTACTACATCGCATCTCTTCACTACTCCAAAACTTGTCTAGACTTGTCCCTTTCTACCTTTTCTGGCTTCAAAAATACCTTCTTTCTTCCTAGTACTTTACATACATACATACATACATACATACATACATAATATATATATATATATATATATATATATATATATATATATACATACATACATACACACACACACACACACACACGCGCGCGCTTAATTGTCCTGTGAATCATTCATACTACCAGATCACTCTTCAACACTTCCTGTTCTGTCGTGCATTGTTTGGTGTTGTATCCACTTCTGGTTTTAGGGTTCAGTCTTGCATGGTGCTCTTTACTCTGGCTCCAATTCAGCAGAAGCATTTAAGCACGTGTAGTTTCAACAGGACTACTTTTGTGCTTAAGCACTTAAGAAATTACTCACCTAGTGCAGTAATGATGGTTCTTTGAGATGTGTGTCCCTATGGGTGTTCCACTGTAGATGACTCCTGAGTAGGGTTGCCAACTTTCTATTGGCACAAAACCGAACACCATAGCCCTGTCCCTTCCCTACCCTGCCCCTTCTCCAAGGCCCCACTCACTACATTCCCCCTCTCTCAGTGCCTCGTTCTCCCCCACCCTCGCTCACTTTCACTGGTCTGGGACAGGCGGTTGGGGTGTGGGAGGGGTTGAAGGCTCTAAATGGGGTGCGGGCTCCAGGGTGAGACCAGAAATAAGGGGTTCATTGGGCCAATATAGTTACTGAGGGTTTATGCTTGAGGAATTGAGGCTTATTAAGAAGATGTATTGTATAACCTTTTACTGCTTGTGTGGCTCTCTCAAATTGCTTTGCATTCAGCAAATTGTATCTGAATTCACTGGTACCGGTAACAATCTGCCAGCCGTGAGCCAATAAAGATCCATTTCTACACCATCAGCCCCCTATTTCCCCTATCCTTCTGGCCGAAGTGATGGTGATGAGGAACACTGTCTTCATGGAGAGGTGAGTTAGTGAGCAAATGGCCATAGGTTCAAACAGTGGTCTAGTCAGCCCTTTTAAAACTAGATTGAGGAATGGGGGTGTTTAGGTTGCGGGAAGATGTTTGCTATGCCTTTGAGACACCTCTTCATAGTTGGGTGGGAGAAGAAGTAGCCTTCTTCCTGTTGGTGAAAGGTTACAATTGCCACTAGATGGACCTTCTGTGAGCTAGTAGAAAGGCCTGATTTCTTTAAGGATAATGGGTATTCTAATACAAATGGCAGGGTAGACCTAGCAGGTGTGATGCCTCTGGATTGGCACCAAATCTGAAACATCTTCCACTTCTGGAGGTAGGTGCAACGAGTAGCGCCCTTTCTACTGTGCAATAGCACCTCTTTTACCTCCTCAGAGCAAGATGCCTCTATGTGCTGGAACCACGAAG